GCGCCCGGGATCCGAACCGGTGAACCCCGGGCCGCTGCAGCGGAGTGTGCACACTTAACTGCTTGCGCCACTGGACTGGCCCCAGTGAAGCATTTCCTTTAACATTTCTCATAATGCAGGTCTGCTGGTGATGAATTCTGTCAGATTTTGTATATCTGGAAACTTTTAAGGTAATTTTCTGGGGCGTTTGTAGGGCTTACTCAGTTTTTTTCTGTTTCTTAGGGATCACTGTCCTTTGTTGCCCAGTGTCCACATGTTTTGAAAATCATTGTTTCATAAATTTTATCTGTTTTTTTGTTTTATCAGGCAGGAGAGTAAATCTGGCCCTTGTTATTTCATTTTGGAAGCTAAAGTTCTGGCCACAAATTAAAGAAAAGAAGTACAATGGCAGGGGCTAGCCTTTTCAGAATTGGCAAAGAATAGGCATGTGTCAAGGCAGAAAGGGAGTAAGTCAAGGGGAGGGAGGTCTATTTTCACCCAGAAGCTGGGATTCCTTAGATACGTGAAAGTGCCTCTGTACAAACAAGCAGTTAATTAGCAAGTTAAAACGCCTTTTGAAGCCTCTGGGTGCAGCATATTAAATCTGAAATAGTGTTGATCGTCTCTAGGGACTTTCCTTTAAATCCCAGTCCAAACCTTCATTGTTCAGTGGTTTTGAGTCTGTTAGCCTAGCTTTTGATTGGGGTCCTGGGCTGGCGTGGCAGAAACAGCAGCAAATGTGAAATAGCTTCTAGAAGGGCCAGGGAGAGGCCCAGGTTGGAATTGTAGGTTTTGGAAAAGTTGCATAGCACCTCCCCCCAAACTTTCTGAATCGAGGTGCTCTTTAATTCGCATATGTGGAAGGCTATCCTGTTCACATAAAGCCTGATCCCACAAATTAGGTCACCTGGTTGTGGAGGGTATCGTGATCCTGAGGCTCTTTTCTATACCGTGTACAATTCAAACAGAATTGTTTTCATCTGGCAACTTTGAGCAGCTAACATCCCCTATTTGTTTGCCCACACGGGATGTGAGTAAAGGAAAGAGAGAAAATGGTGTATGGTGTATCTTAGTGTGCTTGGGCTGCCATAATAACAAAATGCCATGCACTGGGGGGGCTTAAACAACACAAATTTATTTTCTCACAGTTCTGGAGGCTAGAAAGTCAAAGATCAAGTTTGCAGCAGAGTTCAATTTCTGGTGAGGGCTCTCTTCCTGGCTTGCAGACCACTGCCTTCTCTGTGTCCTCACATGGCCTTTCTTCAGTGGATATGGTAGAAAAAGAGATCTCTTTCTTCCTTTTCTTATAAGGCCACCAATTCTATTGGATTAGGACCCTACCCATATGACCTCATTTAACCTTAATTACCTCCTAAAAGCCTGATCTCAGAATACCACACATTGGCAATTAGGCTTCAACTTATGAATGTTAGTAGGACACAAACATTCAGTCCCTAACAGGGTGTGTGGGATTCAGCAGCTATATAGGTACCTAACATGTGTGCCCCATGTCTTTTGTCAGCCTCTCATTTCTGGGTACATTGTGGCCATACCCTCCAGAGGCCTAAGCCCTGGTAGTAGCCCCTCTGCTACATACTTCCTAACCACAAGCTTTCAAAATTAGATTTGGATTCCAGTATTTTGTTGAAATGAATAGACATGGCCTGGATGTACCTTTTCAGTAACTGTACATATTCCATGGGAAAAGGGACAGGTCTCCTGATAGATTTCGAATTGCTTGTCTCCAGGTTCTTCTTTGCGGTCCAGTTGGTCCAAAGCTGCATGAACTTCTTGATGACAATGTATTTGTTCCACCAGAGTCACTGCAGGAAGTGGATGAGTTCCATCTCATTTTAGAGTATCAAGCAGGTAAGAGAAATGAGTAAGTAATGGTGTAAGACTGGTCAGGGGACTGTGTATTGTCACTTGGGATGTGACTGTGCTAGAAATCTATCTTAGTAAATTGGCAGGATCCTGTTCTTGCCATACCAAAGGTTTTCTGACCCCTTGGTTCTACTGAGCTGATACTGCCATTGTCTCAAGGAAAAGTGATACAACTTGCAGAAAAGTCCCAGGTCTGCAAACATAATTGATCTGAACCCAAGAGAAATCAGGTTGTAGGAAAGCAGGCATCATGAATAAAATGAAAATATGTTAAAGATGCATATATAAAGTTTTTCTTTGTTACTCAGAAAAGAGAAGAGCAGGTAACATCTGCTCAGCTCTGTGCTGGATTCTGCCCTAGGCCTTTCTGGCCAACTGTTCCAAGCTGCTTAGGATTGGTTCCAGGCCTTTGGCAAACTTCCTTTGAAGCATTTTATTCTCCCTTGGGTGTGTAAGTAGGAGTGTTTTGTAGTTAACAACACGTACATTATTTCCCATTATATAATGTTCCAGTGTTTATAAATCCAAATCCACCCCATCTTACCCGAACCCCAGCAGATTTTGTTATACAGACTAGAAATCTGATTTCTGAGAGAATCCTAAATACCTAAATATATTTTAATTCTGTTTATTTGATTCCCTATATTAGCTGTTGTACCTTTCCTCTGCTCATACTCAGACTCTTGAATTTCTGATTCGATGCATTATTAATTCAAGTTAAAGACTCCAGCATCTAAACTGACTGATTGGTACCTTAAAGCAGTACTTACTTAGTACGCTTCAGTGAACTGCTTCCAAGTCAGACAATTAAGAGAACCGCACCTGCTAGAGTAATTAACTTTAATGTAAGATAGGAAATATAGTGCTTCTTGAAAATTATGCCTTTCTCTAAGTACAGAAAAGGAATTGTTTCTCATTTCTGGTTCTCTTTAGGGTGCTTACTGGAATCAGTTAGGAAGGGCAGGGTCTGAAAATTTGGGACAGAATGTTGAAGCAGGCGATTCACATTTAATGATACACAAGTTTTGAGTTTCTCTCAGTTTTTATTTCCCCAAGTGGGAAGTCAGAGTGACAGTTCTTACTGCCTGAAGATTGTGGTAAGGATTAAGAGGTTAGTGTGGCTGAGCACTGTGAGCTCTTTAAATGAAGGGCATGAACGTGACTGTTGACTGGAAGAGTCTAGAATAGCTAAAGGTATGCCTTGGAGGTGCTGCTGCTCCTGCTACCAGTTCCAGATTCGTCTCACTTCCACCCTGCTGGCACTCACATCATGAATGCGGGACCTTTCTGGTTCCTGGTTTCTATCATTTTCCCTGGTGACCGCAGAGTAGAGAGACTGGTTTCTTTAACGAGACACAGCTGTTGACAGCTGTGACTCGTATGTAGTTAAGAAGACAGCATAGCTTATCTTGAAAGGAGATTGTCTCTATCCTTGGATTTATAAGCTTCACACGTCAGTCTTTCTTTTCTATGCCTTATTTTCTTAGTACAAAGCAGTGGCCTTCCACTAAGCTTTATGTGAAGTTACATTTTCATCAGCCCCTGGAGGGAACCTAGTCTGATGGCAGCAGGCCTTGGGTCAGCTCTCTTAACAGAAATCCATCCCCAGTGTCTTTCTGACCTAGATGGATAAATTCCCAGAGAGGATTTGTCAACTTTTTTCCCCTCCTTCTCTCCTACAAGACTTCCCCAGAGAAGTTTATTTTCAGGGTTTGGGCTGGGGATGCAGTGAGTCACTTCATAGGTTTTGCTGACTTACTGGCTGAAGGGTGGGATCATAAATTGAGAGAAGAGATCATGTAAAGAAATAAATTCAAAGCTTTGTGAGGAAAGAGGGGCATTGACTATTATTATGGGCTCACTGTGTCTGAGTTTCAGTCGTTTTGCTTCTCAGGCCACTCCATCAGTCCTGTGTCCTGTGGAAACAGGCAGTGTAACTCCTTGTCTTTGCCTTGCGGAAGCTGTTTATTTTTGCCTCTCTTACTTTTTCCTTGAAGAAATTATTTTGATGCTGTGTGGCTCTTCTCTCCTAGGTTAAGTTAGGCCGTGCTTCTTAGCAGCTTCACCCTTTAAGGGTCCGTTCCAGGTCTTGCCCAATGGAGAACACTAATGTCATGTATTTTTACCATTGTACAGAGTCTTATTAATTGGGGAAACGTTGGATTTGGAGTTCACACCCATATTTTTTGTTTTCATGGGCATTTAAGTCATTGGTCTGTTCTCTTGTTCACTTGTTCTTTTGCTAATTCACTCACATTATACTCCAGGTGCAATGTGAGGCAGTAGGAATATGATGATAGAAGACGTGGGCCCTGCCCTTGGCTCACAGTTCACTGCAGGAAATGGACTCTTGAACAAATGATTGCAAAATCATGTACCAGGTCCTATAACAGGGTACAGCAGTGGCCCCAGGAAGGAAGTAATTGAGTTTGCTTGGTGGTGGCAGAGTTAGGAAAGGCTTCATAGGGGAGGCCGTCCTTGTGTTGGGTCTTGAGAGACAAAGTCGAGTTGGACTGCTGCAGTCAGCTCTGTGAACCACCACTGGTTATTTTCTTTGGACAAATGGTAAGACATGGGCCAGCAGTTAAGAAAAGAGTGTGGTGTTTTAACAAATATAACCGTTGTAGCGGGGTTTAGTAAATAGGTAATGTCTTTTTTTTCTGCTTTCATAGATTTTTATACAAATAACCCACATATAAAAGGTTTTTCAGAGGAATGGATTCAGTAAAGCTGAATTCAAAGCAAAGGAAGGATGGGTTCTCACAGCCTGGACACCTGCTCTAGAGTCAGCCCTCCACACTCAGCACACATGCAAGTGCTCCCCACCAGGGGGCAGGGCTTCTGTCTGGAGAGGCCATTGTAGAAAGGAGGAAGCAGGTTGCTGACTGCAGTTGGCAGATCAACCTGCAGGATGAGGAAGCCCTGCTGTGGTTTGTCTGCCTTGGGGATAAACTTTCTGTGGGAATATCCAGTAAAGATAGTGTAGGGGAGGAAGACAAATCCTCTACCCTCTGCATCCTTCTGGCTGGGTATGAATTAAATTGACATGAGACAGAATAACAGGAGAAAATCAAACAAAGCTTTATAACATGTATACATGGGAGACACTCAGGAAAACTGAGCAACTTGCCAAAATGGCTGAGGTTGTCACCTTAAATAGCATCTTCAGCAAAAGACAAAGGAGGGTGTTGGGGGTAGTGGTTTGGGACTTCAAAGGGGAGGAAGGCAATTCACATGGAGATGGAAAAGCAGATGTTTGGGAAACAGAACTGTGATAAGAATGGGCTTAGCAAGGACCCTCCCAGTCTGTCAATACCCAGAGTTATTTATGGTGATGGCCTGTCCTGGGGACAGGCCTTTTATCTTAAATTCTTTTAGGCAGTTAGGGGCAAGGCCAAAGTTTCTTTCAGAGTCTTTTGTTCTTAAAAATAATCAAGCCAAGGCAAAGAGACACATTTTGGGGTAGCCAATTCTGATTCCTCACAATAGAGACCAGTGAAAAACTAAATTTCAATGTATGGACTTTAGTTTTATAATTGGGACAAATCCTGTATGTGGAGGGAAAGCTGTGTAAGCCTGGATCACAAATCCTTGCCCCCAAGTCTCTGGGAGCATGTCCATGCTGGTGGTGACTGGCTCCCTCTGGTGCTCAGTGGGGAAGGCCTCATTTAGGAATTGCCCTAAGCAGTAGCCCTTAGACTGATTGATTTCAAGATTTTCAGGTCTTTATGGAGAAGAATGTGAGTTCTGCATGGTAAAGTCTCCGACCATGAAGCTTCACCAAGTGACCTCGGAGAGGGCCTCCTTGTCACCTTTCCTGCTTTAGGACTCACAGCAATAGCACACTCCTTTTGAAAACTTGGCAGCTGTGGGGTCTTAATCGGTAGTTCTTTACCTGACTGCACATCAGGCTCTCCTAGGGTGGGGCCTTGCTACCTGTACATTAAAAACTAGGTTCCCCAGGAGATTCTGATGCATTGCCAGTGCTGAGAGCCCCTCCTATAGATGTGCACAGACTCCAAACTCCTTCCCCACCAGAAGACCCAACCAAGAATGGATCTGGCCCCCCCCCCCCCCCCCCGCCTGGATCAGATTAGCAGCTACTGAGTAGGCACTCTATGCAGGGGTTTGTGACAGGTGCCAAGGGAATCAAAGACATACAGTATTCCCTTTAAAGAGCTGGCAGTCTGTCTGGGGAGATGTGGCACAAATGTGTGAAAAGTTAAGTAATGATATAGGTTTGAATACTGTTTCAAAATGGTGGAAGAGATAACTCAAAGCAAAATGATTAGTCACCAAACCATGTAAAGGAGAGTCTCTGTGGATGCTCAAAGTGGTGAAAGTGCAGCCAGGCTGGAGCAGTCAGCAACCATCTAAGGAGGAAGTAACACTTGAACTTGTTCTTGAACAGTCATTATTCCAAAGCAGCTCATTCAGAGGAGGCTTGAGCAGCCAGAGACTCTTACCTTCTGGATCAGGTGCCCGGAAACCACCAGCGGGCAGCAGGGAGGAAGAGGTGCAGTCAGCTTGACTCTTGGAACTTCAGCCTCCCTAGGTCCCAACTAAATGAAAGGTGCTCAGGGTGCTGCTATGAGGTGGAAAGTGCTTTGAGAAAGGCAGCATGTCTGTATTCAGGGACATGCATGGTATGCACCATGTGCTGCTACCTGGAAGTCATGCTCCCACTCTGACTGGGAAAGGACACTGGCATCCTCTGTTTGAGAGCTCAGTGGACAGTAGAGCTTTCCTGGGACTCGAGGGGAGCTAATTGCCAGCCCCTCGACAAAGGCATACAGTATAGCACCCATACTGTGTTTCTGTGTTTTTGTTGGGTTGGGGTTGGGGTTTTTGGTTTGTTTGTTTCTTTACTGACCACTGTCCTCCTGGATGCGATGCCATGCTTATCTTCAGCCATTGTAGCCAGGGTCCACTCAGCCAGAAGCCAGCCTGCCCAGAGCCAAGGCTCCAGTGAGGCCCCTGCAAGCCCCCCACAGCTAGGAGACTTAAAGCCTCTTCCTTTTCTTCCCATTGTGTTGACTGGGCTTTTCTAGGGGAGGAGTGGGGCCAGTTAAAAGCTCCCCATGCCAACCGATTCATCTTCTCCCACGACCTCTCCAACGGGGCCATGAATATGCTGGAGGTGTTTGTGTCTAGCCTGGAGGAGTTTCAGCCAGACCTGGTGATCCTCTCTGGATTGCACATGATGGAGGGACAAAGCAAGGAGCTCCAGAGGAAGAGACTCTTGGAGGTAATAGCACTGTTACAGAATTTCACAGATCTCAGCTAGTGTTTTGCTTCAGATTCCTGCCTCTCTTGCTCTCTGCAGCTTGTGCTGCCTTGTCCTTGGTCCTGGCCTCCCCAGGGCTTATCATGGCAGCTGGCTCTGAAGCCTGCCTCCTACTCCAGTGAGGCACCTCACGGTATTCTTTCGGGCACAGGCAGTGGCTTGAGTAGGACAGGTCAGAACATCTTCTTGCCTGAGCCTCTGCATCCTGTGCTAAAGTGAACGTGGCTGCAAGCTGCGGTGTTTGTAGTTTGTGTCCTCTGTGTCATCTGTACCATCTCACTTCACATCGGCTGTGCTGCGGTTCCTGCAGATTCTTACAGCAGTTGAAGCCGCCTCCTCAGTTTAGGTCCCCAAGAATAGGCTGGCTATGTGAACATACAGGGGCGGGTCTTTGTGCTCTCTGAGTCTATAACCCCAGCAACTCTCTGCAGAACTGAATTTTCCCTGTTGGGAAAAGCATCCCTCGTCCACAGAGGCCATGGCGACCCACATGGCGTGGAGCTTTCATGAGGATGCAAAGGCAGTGACAGGAGGCATTGACTCTCAGGACCTGATCCTTCCCTCTTGCCTGACTTCCTTCTATTTCTAATGGCAATGCTCTCCTCTTCTCTTTGCAGGTTGTGACCTCCATTTCTGACGTCCCCACTGGCATTCCAATTCACCTAGAGCTGGCCAGTATGACCAATAGGGAGCTCATGAGCAGCATGGTGCTTCAGGTAACCACACGGGCAGCACGTGGGGCCCTCTTTGGTCCTGACCCTCATGGGGTCTTGCAGAGAAACACCTTTGTCAGGTGAGACTGGCTCACTGAGATGTGGATGTCCTGTCACTCAGACCTAGGTCCACGGACATCCAAATAAGGAGCCAGAACTGTTCTGGAACAGGATCTCCTTCTAGGTTAAAAATACGGCAATGTGACTGATGGGTTCTTGGGTTGTGTTTCTCCTTCTGGAATGGGGAAGTTAGAAATGAATGGCTTTTGCAGTAGAACTTAAGGGAGAAAACTGAAGTCCAGCTTAGCTGCTTTCAGTTGAATTCAAGAAGCTCGGAGAAAGAAAACTTTGGGTGAGCTTCACTCCCTCACCACCAGGCATCCAGGTGTTCAACCCCTGCCTTTGGACAGCAGCAGTGATTAGATAAATCCAAGAGTGTGATACTTTTTGTTTGTTTGTTTATTGCAGTAACATTGGTTTATAACATTGTATAAATTTCAGGTGTACATCATTATACTTCTGTTTCTGCATGGATTACATCATGTTCTCATGTTCACCACCCAAATACTAATTACAGTCCATCACCACACACATGTGCCTAATTATCCCTTTCGCCCTACTCCTTCCCCTCCTCCCCTCTGGTAACCACCAATCCAATCTCTCTCTATGTGTTTGTTTGTTGTTGTTATTATCTACTACTTAATGAGGGAGATCATACTGTATTTGACCTTCTCCCTCTGACTTATTTCACTTTGCATAATACCCTCAATGTCTATCCATGTAGTCACAAATGGCTGGATTTCATCGTTTCTTGTGGCTGAGTAGTATTCCATTGTGTATATATACCAAATCTTCTTTATCCATTCGTCCCTTGATGGGCACTTAGGTTGCTTCCAAGTCTTGGCTATTGTGAATAATGCTGCAGTGAACACAGCGGTGCATGTATCTTTACGCACTGGTGTTTTCACATTCTTTGGATAAATACCCAGCAGTGGAATTGCTGGATCGTATGGTAGTTCTATCCTTGATTTTTTGAGGAATCTCCATACTGTGTTCCATAGTGGCTGCACCAGTTTGCACTCCCACCAGCAGTGTATGAGAGTTCCCTTCTCTCCACATCCTCTCCAACACTTGTTGTTTGCTGTCTTGTTAATTATAGCCATTCTGACGGGCATGAGGTGATACCTCATTGTAGTTTTCATTTGCATTTCCCTGATAGTTAATGATGTTGAACATCTTTTCATGTGTCTATTGGCCATCTATATATCTTCTTTGGAGAAACGTCTGTTCAGGTCTTTTGCCCATTTTTTAATTGGGTTGTTAGTTTTTTTGTTGTTGAGATGTGTGAGTTCTTTATATATTTTGGAGATTAACCCCTTATCAGATGTATGGTTTGCAAATATCTTCTCCCAATTGTTAGGTTGTCTTTTCGTTTTATTGATGGTTTCCTTTGCTGTGCAGAAGCTTTTTAGTTTGATGTAGTCCCATTTGTTTATTTTTTCTATTGTTTCTCTTGCCCAGTCAGACATGGTGCTTGAAAATACGTTGCTAAGACAGATGTTAAAGAGTGCACTGCCTATGTTTTCTCCTAGAAGTTTCATGGTTTCAGGTCTTACATTCAAGTCTTTAATCCATTTGGAGTTAATTTTTGTGTATGGTGTAAAGTAATGGTCTACTTTCATTTTTTTGCATGTGGCTATCCAGTTTTCCCAACACCATTTGTTGAAGAGACTTTCCTTTCTCCATTGTATGTTCTTGGCTCCTTTGTCGAAGATTAGCTGTCCATAGATGTGTGGGTTTATTTCTGGGCTTTCAATTCTATTCCATTGATCTGTGTGTCTGTTTTTGTGCCAGTACCATGCTGTTTTGGTTACTATAGCTTTGTAGTATATTTTGAAGTCAGGGAGTGTGATACCTCCAGCTTTGTTCTTTTTTCTCAGGATTCCTTTAGCTGTCCGGGGTTTGTTGTTGTTGCATATAAATTTTAGGATTCTTTGTTCTATTTCTGTGAAAAATGTTGTTGGAACTTTGATAGAGATTGCATTGAATCTATAGATTGCTTTAGGAAGTATGTACGTCTTAACAATGTTAATTCTTCCAGTCCAAGAGCACAGATTATCTTTCCATTTCTTTGTGTCTTCTTTAATTTCTTTCAGCAATGTTTTATAGTTTTCAGTGTACAGATCTTTCACCCAAGAGTGTGATGCTTAAGAATACAGACTTTGGGGCTGGCCCTGTGGCTTAGCGGTTAAGTGCGCGCGCTCCGCTACTGGCGGCCCGGGTTCGGATCCCGGGCGCGCACCAACACACTGCTTCTCTGGCCATGCTGAGGCCGTGTCGCACATACAGCAACTGGAAGGATGTGCAGCTATGACATACAACTATCTACTGGGGCTTTGGGGAAAAAAGGAGGAGAATTGGCAATAGATGTTAGCTCAGAGCCGGTGTTCCTCAGCAAAAAGAGGAGGATTAGCATGGATGTTAGCTCAGGGCTGATCTTCCTCACAAAAAAAAAAAAAAGATAACAGACTTTAGAAACCTGGGTTGGAATGCCAGCTTTGCCAAACATTTGCTAGCTTTATGAACTTAGGCAAGTTCCTTAACCTTTCATTTTATTGTTGTTTAACCTTTTTAATGGGTAATTTATTCATATGGTTCAAAACCCAAAAAATATTAAAAGATACATGAAGAAGTCTCCCTCCCTCCGGCCATCTGTCCCCACTGTTATTAATCGCCTTATTAGTTTCAACTGTATCCCTCCAGAGTTGCTGTGTACATATATAAACAAGTATGGGAATATATCTTTATTTTTTCATCCTTGTTTACCCAAAAAGATAAATAGCATACTGAATACACTGTTCTACACTTGGCCTTTTTTCACTAAATGAATTTTGGGGATCTTTTCTCTGTCATCACATGGAGAACGTCCTCAGTCTTTTCAGAGCCCTGAGGTTGAAAGGAATGTGTGGGTGTACCTCAGTTCATTTAACCTGAACCTTCTTGATGGGCATTTGGTTTAGTGTCCTTTGCTATTCCATACAGTGTTGCAACAAATAACTTTGTACATGATTTTATTTTGTCCATGAGCAAGTATATGTGTATGATAAGTTCTCAGAAGTAGAATAGCTGGAGTAGAGCATAAAAAGCATTTCTAAGTTTGATATTGCCAAATTGCCCTCCATGAGAATTGTACCAATTTACTTCCGCTAGAACTCTTTACAAATGCTTATTTCCTCATCTCCTTGCCACCGGAATGTGATTAGAAACATGCATTCTTACCAATCTGACAGGTAAGAAATGATATTTCAGGATAGTTTCTTTTTAATAGACTTTGCTTTTTAGGTTCACAGCAAAAGTGAGCAGAATGTAGAGAGTTTGCATATACCCCTGCCCATACACATCCACAGCCTCCCCCCACCCATCAACATCCCACTGCACCAGAGTGGGACATTTCTTACAGTCAGTGAACCTACATGCACACGTCACTATCACCCAAAGTGTATGGTTTACATTACGGTTCACTCTTGGTGTTTTTCATTATAGTTTTTATTTGCATTTCTCTTTTGAGGTTATCTTTTCACTTTTTGAAAAACAAGCCATTTTTATTTCATTTTCTGTATGTCTCCTTAACCTTTCTGAGCCTCAGTCCCCTTATCTGTAAAAAAGAGGCCATCCCTGCTTCCCTCAGAGGGTTACAGTAAGAGCTGAATGAAATAAAGCCATTAGCTCGGTGCCTGGCACAGAACATGCAGTAAATGGCAGTGCTATTACATTAGCAAAGGCTAGGCCATTGACCTTTAAATACGTAAATAAATACACATGCATGTGCGTGCAGGTGTGCACACACACACCTACCTACCTACCTACATACATAGCGGGGCTCGTCTCTCTCGCACAGAAATTCACCTTATGTGCAGTTCTCTGGCTCTAAAGATGAAAGTGCTAAAGTAAGAAAGATAGTGAGGTGGACATAGTGGTTCCCCTAAAGATAGAAAACAGGCTCACAGCCCCTGTTTGGTACCCTTTTCTACACAGTGTTATTATTAAATACAGTCTTCCTAACCCATACCTGCTTTAAAAGCTTAGATCTAACCTGAAACTATTCTCCTTACTTCTTGGTGTTTTGTACACGGAACCATTGCAACCCTGACTGTTGCTAGGGCCTTCTGCGTTTTACTGGTGTAACACCTGCTGACATTCAGGAGCTGAGTCACGTTCCGTCCATGGTGAGAGGATCTGCTGTGTGTGCAAAGGCAAAAGCTGGGCACCATGGAAAGAAATACAAAATATGTACACCTCTGCCCTTTGTCTTATAATGGTGTATAACAAATGACTGGGTCTAAAACGGTGTTACTGCAACTTTCTGGTTTATCCCAAGTGATAATGAAGGTGGAGATGGTTAGAGGTTAATAGCCACAACAGTGACCTATGATCTGTCACTTCCCCACCACAGACTTTAGGGGCAGGGAGTCTCGTGAAAGATGAAAGAAGAAAGATGCCATCCTGTCTTCCTTTCCTGACTTTAGTCATAGGCTGTGTCCTAAGATATCTTAGGAGCTAGATGTCCATCAGAAAGAGACCTCCGTTTTGTTTTTGTTAGCAGGTCTTTCCCGCGGTGACGTCCCTCGGGCTGAATGAACAGGAGCTGTTATTTCTCAGCCAGTCGGCATCTGGACCTCACTCCTCTCTCTCTTCCTGGAACGGGGTTCCTGATGTGGGCATGGTCAGTGACATCCTCTTTTGGATCCTGAAGGAACATGGGAGGAGTAAAAGCAGAGCCTCAGACCTCACCAGGATCCACTTCCACACGCTGGCCTACCACATCCTGGCGACTGTGGACAGACACTGGGCCAACCAGCTGGCGGCCGTGGCTGCAGGAGCTCGCGTGGCTGGAACACAGGCCTGTGCAACAGAAACCATAGATGCCAGCCAAGTGTCTCTGAGGGCACCCCAAGAGTTCATGACTTCCCACTCGGAGGCAGGCTCCAGGATCGTAGTAAACCCAAATGAGCCAGTAGTAGAATGGCACCGGGAGGGAATATCCTTCCACTTCACACCAGTGCTGGTGTGCAAAGATCCTATTCGAACTGTGGGCCTTGGAGATGCCATTTCAGCCGAAGGACTCTTCTATTCAGAAGTACACCCTCACTATTAGGAAGGTGGTTGTGGGTAATTTTTCTGAAGGAGGAGAACTAGCCAACTTAAGAATGACAGGAATTAAGTGGTTTGGAAAATAGGACTGAGGATGTCAAAACAGTTTCTAGATCTAACTGAAAGACAGCCAAAGAAACAACAGATTAAACTATATCAGATACATTCCATCCTGTTGACAATTACATGAAAACATTTCAGGTTTTAATCAAAATTTAGCTATCTACTAACAAAACTGGATTTTTGTTTTTTTATGTTGTATGTTACAGCGGTAAAAACTTGATTCCCATATCCCCAATTTATGAAGCATCATCAGGTATTTAGGCCAAACTTCTTCACCCTCAAGAGCATGTCAGCTGGAGAAAGCACTTCCCTCCTTGCCCACTTCAGAAGTGCATGCTTGCTCACCCACACTCCTCGTCTCCAGTGGAGCCCAGTGTGAAGTTCTTGTGTTCTCTCAGCTCAGCGCTCATGGGCAGAATCATGGTTTCCATTCAGTGTTATAATGAAAATATTTAATGAGCACACCTTCTCAGTCTTCTGCTCTCAAACAGGACAGAGCCACAAGTAAGGACAAAACAGTCCCTCCTGTGCTTCCTAGTTGCAGTAGAGGCTGGGAGCCTTGAGGAGCCTTCGAAGGAGTCAGCCATTCAGCACTTGACCATCAGGGCAGCACTGTGAGCGGAAGGGCTATGCCTTCCTGTCCTGGCTCCTTAGACTGTAGGCTGGCTGGTCAGAGGCTGCTGTGCCTGGGCCCAACCCCATCACCCAGCTCTGGACATGCTTTCTGCATTAGAAGACTGATCTTTGTTCATTCTGATCCTTGAAGGAGTTTCCTTTTACAACTGGAATGTGCTTCTGTGTGTATAACAGATCATATATGTTTTACATTGACACATCACAGCCATTAAAAAGTTTGACCTCATAAGAGCCCAGGATCATGAATAAATTTGTTATGTATTTATTTTTTTATAAATCAAGATTTCTGTGTGCTTTTAAATATATTAAAAACAATTTACATTTCGGGAATCCTAAGTCTATTTGTAATTGGTTTTGTTTCCACCACCACTCTGGAGCCAGATAAGATATAAATCATTCTGGGCCGGCCCCGTGGCTTAGCAGTTAAGTGCGTGCGCTCCGCTACTGGCAGCCCGGGTTCAGATCCCGGGCGCGCACCGACGCACCGCTTCTCCGGCCATGCTGAGGCTGCGTCCCACATACAGCAACTAGAAGGATGTGAAACTATGACATACAACTATCTACTGGGGCGTTGGGGGGGGTGGGAAGGAGGAGGATTGGCAATAGATGTTAGCTCAGAGCCGGTCTTCCTCAGCAAAAAGAGGAGGTTTAGCATGGATGTTAGCTCAGGGCTGATCTTCCTCACACACACACACACACAAATATATATATATATATATATAAATCATTGCGATCTTGACTTGTGAGTTAGATGTTACTCTGCTATTGAGATATTTGGTTACCTTGTCTTCCCCATCACTGGGTTAGGCAGTCCCTCACACAGAGCCTGAGCTATAGGTCTGTCCTCTGTGGTTTAAAGTGCTAGAAGATACCAGTATCAAGTAGCCAAGCCACTATGAAACCAGTTTGAACGAGTGCGGTGAGCCTTCTCAATTTGTTCAAAGAGCAGTATAGACAGGCCTACTTTGGTCAGGGGTAATCATTTCACAGCAGCAGCTTCTGGAATCTCAAAGCTGCCTCAAGTTCTTCATTTACCACCTCCCCCTCCATGATTTGGGTAAGAAGGAAAGGCTTGTTTACTCCTTCACAGAAAACTTAAGTCTAGAGAATTACGCAGCTTGAAATTCAAAGCAAGTAGTTTCTTAAGGAAACCTGGCTGCTACCTCATCAGTCTCTGCCTCCAAGCTCAATTAAAAATAAACACCAGCCTTCTAGCCTATTTTTATTAGAAAGGCTTAAGTGAGAAGAGATTTCTGCGTTCCCAAGAATTGGAATAACTCATCATAGAACTTATGTTCTAAACCTAAGAAGACAAGACTGAAGTGTTCTCCATGTGACTTTTGTTTTTTTTCTTGTAAGGCAGATCAGCCCTGAGCTAACATCCGATGCCAATCCTCCCCTTTTGGCTGAGGAAGACTGGCCCTGGGCTAACATCTGTGCCCATCTTCCTCCACTCTATATGGGACACCGCCACAGCGTGGCCTGACAAGCGGTGCGTTGGTGCGCGCCCAGGATCCAAACCTGCGAACCCGGCGCCGCTGAAGCGGAGCAGGAGCACCCAACCGCTTGTGCCACCAGGCGGCCCCCTCCATGTGACCTTTTTACAGTCTGTCTCTAAGTTGTGTCTGCTCGGCCCCAGCCTTTAGCATAGTCTCAACAAGTTCTCCGGTTTTCATTGGTGATGGCAATAAGACCAGTTCAAGAAGTGTAGGCAGCACATACCTAAGAACAGTATTTTTCAAAAGATGGCTCTTGAACTATTAAGTTGCTAAATTTGGTGTTTATCACAAAAAGTATCAAAATGCATCATACATTATAGGGGTAAGTATTATAAGTATTGTTTTGTAAAACTTTATTCCTGAATTTGTGTATGATAAGAATGCACATGCGTCCCTCTTTTTTGAGAAGCCGGCTAAGCTCTGGAAGTAAGATTGACTGGACTCTATCAATCACCTAGGACAGATTACGCAGAAGTGAGTGGGAAGAGCAGGATAAGCTGAACGGGTGGGGCTTCAGGCCCCTCAACCCTTTGCTTTGAACTGTATTTTACAAAGGTTTCCACATATGATTTGCTACAAAGAAGAAAAGTTTGAAAATCCACTGGACTAGAAAGAATGGTTGGTGAAAAATGAGCCTTCCTAAACATGTTCTAACGCTCACTCTTGCGTTCACTTGAAACTGATTTAACACCTAGGGGAAAACTGCAGCACACGAAACACCATCAGGCAATAAGAATTCAGCCAAATATCAGTTCTCTTGATCATGCGGATTCAGTCTGCATTTTATTTTCTCTGTCAAGTTTGAGTGGGGCGGGGGTAATCATTCATCAGCAGTAGAAATCCAAATTCTATGCAGGGTTTGAGATGGCAAGTATTGTATGACATTGGACAAGTTAGCCTTACTGAGCCTCACTTTTACTCATCTGTAAAATGGGGCTAGTATGGTCCCTACCCTCATAGGGTTCTTGATGATGACAGGAGAATGCCATGCAAAATATTTAGCACAATGCATGGCACATATTTAAAAGTTTAATAATTGTTAGTTATTAAACTGAACGGGCAATTTCCTGGGCCTCTTAAGAACTATTTTAAATCGTTGAAAAACTACCACAGTGATAATGTGACATTTTATTTTTTGGTCTTTTTTAGGTAAAAATTTTCATACAGTGAAACTGCACAAATTTCAAGTGTACCATTTGGTAAGTTTTTTTTTTTGTGAGGAAGACCAGCCCTGAGCAAACATCTGATGCCAATCCTCCTCTCTTTTGCTGAGGAAGACCGGCCCTGGGCTAACATCCGTGTCCATCTTCCTCTACTTTATATGGGACGCCACCACAGCATGGCCTGACAAGCAGTGCATCGGTGCACACCCGGGATCTGAACCGGCAAACCCCGGGCCACCACAGCGGAGCGTGCACATGTAACTGATTGCGCCACCGGGCCGGCCCCCCATTTGGTAAGTTTTGACAAATGCATAACCTATCTAACCCAAATGCCTATCCAGATACAGAATGTTCCCATCACCTCACACAGTTCCCTCGTGTCACTTTCAAGTTATCCCCAGCCTCACCCCTCAACCCTGACCTCTGAAGCAACTCGTTACAATTTTTTTCACCGTAAATTAGTTTTGCCTGTTCTGGAACTTCATAGACATGGAATCATATAGTATTTAGTCCTTTGTATACAGCTCCTTTCATTCAGCATAATGTTTTTGAGATGAATCTATGTTGCTGCATGTAGTTGGTTGCTTTTTATGGCTGAACTGTCTTCCACTGTGAATACAGTGTTTCCACTGTGGGGATTCTATGAATAATGCTGTTACCAAGTCTTTGTGTAGACATTTTCATTTCTCTTGGGTAACAATTCCATAGGAGTGTAATTGCTGGGATAGATATATATCATGGAATAGGTGACAGACCTTTCTCCAAAGTGGTTGGACCATTTTACACTCCCACCAACAATATGTGACAGTTCTGGTTGCCTCTCATTCTTGCCAATATTTGGAGTTGTCAGTGTTTAATTTTAGCCATAGTGGTGTTTCACTGTGGTTTTATTTTGCATTTCTCTGATGATGAATGATGAGCACTTTTTCACATGCTTATTGGCTATTCATGTATCTTTGTGAAATGTCCTATTTTTTTGCCTACTTTTTTTTTTTCAATTAGGTTGTTTTGTGTATGTTGTTATTTGGGTTGTTAGTTTATTACTGAGTTGTAGTTCTTTTTATATTCTGGATATAAGTCCTTTGTCAGACATATTTTGTGAATTTATTCTCCCAGAAAATATTCTCAGTCTGTAGATAGATAATCATTTTTTGTTTCTTTATTGCAGTAACATTGGTTTATAACATTGTATAAATTTCAGGTGTACATCATTATACTTCTATTTCTGCATAGATTACATCATGTTCACCCCCCAAATACTAATTACAACCCATCACCACACACATGTGCTGAATTATCCCTTTCACCCTCCTCCCTCCCCCCTTCCCCTCTGGTAACCACCAATCCAATCTCTGTCTCTATGGGTTTGTTTATTGTTGTTATTTTCTACTACTTAATGAAGGAAATCATACGGTATTTGACCGTCTCCCTCTGACTTATTTCACTTTGCATTATACCCTCAATGTCCATCCATGTTGTCACAGATGGCCGGATTTCATCGTTAGATAATCATTTTCTTTATGGCTTAATGGTTTGTGTCCTAAGAAACATTGGACTACTCCTATGCCATGAATATAGTCTCATATTTTCTTCTAGGAACTTTATAATTTTAGGTTTCACATTTAGGTTTGAGTTACTTTTTGTGTATGGTGTTAGGCTGGAGTCAGATTCATGTTTTTACACACAGCTATCCAGTTTCACCACCATTTGTTGAAAAGATATTCCTTTTCCCAAAGGCATTGCTTGGGTGCCTGTATCAAAACTCAAATGATGGTGTAAGTGTAGGTCTGTTTATGGACTCTCTTCTGTTTTATTGATCTATTTGTCTATCCCTATGCCAGTACCACATAATTACTATTATGCTAAGTCTTAAAGTGAGGGAGTGTAAGGCCTCCAATTTTCTGCAAGATTCCCTTGGATATTCTAGGTCCTTTGTATTTCCATTTTAGAACCAGCTTGTCAATTTCTACCCCAAAACTCGCTGGAATTATGATAGGAATCTATAGATCAAATTGGGAAGAATTTTTATCTTAACATTTAGTTTTCCAAGGCATGAACATGACATATCTTTCTAGTCTGGTCTTTTTCACAGCAATGCTTTGCAGTTTTCAGGGTAGATGTCTTACATGTATTTTGTTAAATTTATTCCTAAGTATGTCATGTCAATAGTATTTGACAATATTATAAATTGATTTTTTTATTTCATGTCAAACTGTTCGTGCTAGTATAGAAAAATATAATTGACTTTTGTACATTGATCTTTTATCCTGTGACCTTGCCAAATCCACTTAATCAGTTGCAGTGGCTTTATTTATTTACTTATTTTTAGGGTTCCTTAGGATCTTCTACGTAAACAACTATGTCCTCTGTGAAGAGTTTTATTTCTTCCTTTCTAATCTTTATGCCTTTTTATCTCATGCCTTTATTGCACTGGCTAGAACCTCTAGTATAATGTTGACTAAAAGTGGTAAGAGTGGCCATCCTTGCCTTGATCCTGATCTTAGGGGCAAGATATTCAGTATTTCACCACTAAATGTACTATATCTTATTGCATTTTTTTTCCCACAGATGCCCTTCATCAAACTGAAGATGTTCCCTTCTATTCTTGATTTGCTCAGAGTTTTTATGATGGCTTCTTAAAAATTTCTTTTTCTGCATCTACTAAAATCATGACTTTCTTATTTTGTTAATACATGGAAGTACTTTGATTTTCAAATTTTAAACCAAGAGTGGATTCCTGGGGTAACCCCAACTTGCTCATACTGTACATACTAACCTATTGATATACTGTTGGATTTGATTCACTGATACACTGTTAAGGACTTTTGTACCTAGGTTCATGCAGAATAATAGTATGTAGTTTTCTTGTTTTGTAACGTCTTTGTCCAGTTTTGACATCAGGATTGTGCTGGCCTCATACAAACCAATTGGGACATTCTTGCTCCTATTTTCTAAAAATGTGTCTAAGATTGGATTTAATAGGATTTACTGGTGAAATCATCTGGGCCAACAGTTTGCTTTAAGGGTGGCTCTTGATTTACAGATGCAGTTTCTTTGACAGCCCTGTTTAAGTTTACATTTCATCTTGTTTCAGTTTTGGTATCTTTTTCAAAGATTTTTGTTGCTTGCATCTTAGTTGTCAGTTTTCTTGTCATAAAATTGTTCATAATATTCCTTTATCTTTTTCATGTCTGTAGCATCCGTTAATGCTATCCTCTTTCGTTCCTGATATTGGTAATTTGTCTCCTCTTTTTTCCCTTTATCAGTTTAGCTAGGGATTTGTCAATTTTGTTGTTTTCATAGGACTTTTGGCTTTGAGATTTTCCTTTGATATTTGTGTTCTTTCCTTCTACTTACTTTGGATTTATTTTGCTCTTCTTTTTCTAGCTTAAGGTAGAAACCTGTATCACTGATTTTCTACCTTTCTTCTGTTCTAATGGAAGCATTTACAGCTATAAGTTTCCCTGTAAGCATGGCTTTTAGCTAAATCCTACAAATTGATTTGCTTTTATTAAGTTCAAAATATTTCCTAATTTCTTTTGATTTCTTGCTTGCGTTATTACAGGTATATGTTTAAGTCCAAATATGTAGGTTTTCTAGATATCTTGTTATTAATTTTTAATATAATTTCATTGTGGTCAGAGAACATATTCTGTAAATTTCAATCTTTTGACTTTTGAGACCTATTTTATGGCCCAGTATATGGTCCTCTTGCTGAATGTACTATGTGCACCTGCAAAGAATGTATATTCTGCAGTTATTGTCGTGTTGTATAAAGGTCAGTTAGGTCAAGGTGGCTGATATGTCCTTTTACACTTTTAGTCTAATTATATCAGTTGCTGAAAGAGGAAGTAACATATCCAACTAGATTTAAGATTTTATTTATTTATTTTTTCCCCCAAAGCCCCAGCAGATAGTTGTATGTCATAGCTGCACATCCCTCTAGTTGCTGTATGTGGGACGCGGCCTCAGCATGGCCGGAGAAGCGGTGCGTCGGTGCACGCCCGGGATCCGAACCCGGGCCGCCAGCAGCGGAGCGCGTGCACTTAACCGCTAAGCCACCGGGCCGGCCCCTCCAACTAGATTTAATTCTATCCACTTTTACTTACTGTGTTTTGAACTAATGCTGTTAGGTACATACATATTGATGCTTGTTATGTTATGCCAAAGGTACATAACTGCTGCCTGGTTACCAGTTAAGAGCAGGGGCTTTGCATCCAGACCAGGGTTCAAATTCTGATCCTGCCACTTACCTTGGAAAATTCATTTTACCTCTCCCAACCTAAGCTTCCTCCTTTATAAAATGAGGATACCAGTACCTCTCTGTTGGAAGGGTTCAGTGAGACTGACCATTCCCTTCCTGAACCTCCTCTTTCTTGGCCTTCCCTAACACTGCTCTCCTGGTTTTCCTCTTGTATCATCTGCTTTTCCTGTCTCCTTTGTGAGCTCTCTGCTTCTCCCTTTAGATACTGGTTCTCCATTTTTGGTCCCCCGTCATCTTATTCCTACTTACTCCTTACTCCTTTCAAATATATAGTTTCAGCTATCACCCAAAACTAAATAACTCCTCAATCTTTATCTTCAAACTAGATTTCACACCTGAAATCTAGCTATTCAAGTGTCTAGTGGGCGTCATCATTTGGATGTCTCAAAGACAGTCTAAAACTAGACTCCACAACCCTCGACTCTGATCCCCCAGTGTTCCTCTACTCTGACCTGTGTAACTCTCCCCAGCAACGAGTACCCATCTTACAGTCTGTGCTTATCGGCCACAGCCAGTCAGTCCCCAATTTCTGTTGATTTTACCTCATGAATCTCGCTCATACCTCCCTCCTCCTCTCCATCTCTGAGTTTTTACACCTTCATTATTTCTCACCAAGACCTTTCCAGTCACAGGCACACTAGACTCCACACTGATAGAGAAGTGAGCTTTCTCAGTTGCTCAGGGTGCAAATCCCAGTTCTGCCACATACCAGCTGCATGGGTAAGGGTATCACTTCTGATACCTTGCTGTTTATTTCTGAGGTATGAGAAGTGAAGAGTTTTCTGCTCAGCTGCTGCTTCCCAGTCATAAAGAACTCCAAACATAGTTTGGTTTGGCAGTACATCAGTCCTCCACCTTCAAATTATGGTGATTGATTAAAGGGCACTTTAAGTGCAAAATGGGGACTAGCCTCAAGCAAACTGCTGGCCTGCCATCCATCAGGGCTGCCGCAGAGGCTGTGCTAGCACCAAGTAGGAAGCTGGCCTTGAGGTTCCTCCGCCAGTTTCAAACTAGGCTTGGAAGTAGGTAAGGGAAGAGTGTGATCATAGGTTCTTTTAAAAAGTTTTTATTGTGATCTCTTATTTTTATACCTGAATAACAACTTTCCCCAAAGGGATGAGGATACATAATCTTTATTCTAAAAAGGACATATAAATAATGTATTGATAGCATCTGGTCAGTGGTATCATTGATTGTCTTACATGAAAATTCCTCTTCCTGGGGCTCTTCCTGGGGCTGGCCCCGTGGCGTCGCAGTTAAGTGTGCAGGCTCCGCTGCTGGCAGCCCGGGTTCGGATCCCGGGCGTGCACCGACAGTGCACCGACACACCGCTTGTCAGGCCATCCTGTGGCGGTGTCCCATATAAAGTGGAGGAGATGGGCATGGATGTTAGCTCAGGGCCAGTCCTCCCTCAGCAAAAAGAGGATTGGCATGGATGTTAGCACAGGGCTGATCTTCCTTGTGCACGCACAAACACACTAAATAAATAAATAAATATTTAAAAAAAAAAGAAAGAAGCAGCTCTTCCTTTTTTCTTTTAATCCTTGGTGCTGATACCAGACCAGCCCATCATTCCTACTCCTTATCATAGGGACATGTTCTGGCTCTACACTCCGACCTCTCTCAAGAAAAAGATATAGGGACTTGTTCTGGATTCCCTTGGGCAAGTGCAGCTGGGATACTCAACAGGCTGGGCCTCAGTTTACAGAGCTTCTTTTCATTGTTTTTTTTTTTTCAGATGCAGACTATTAGAGCTGGATTATTAACCCAAGATTTGTGCTTGCCCTGAGGGCTGATAATACCCTACAGCCTGAGGATCACCGCAGCTAAGCCAAGGCTTCGTCATGACAGGGCTACTGAGCAGAGGTCTATCTCAGACTCTCCCCCCACAAAGGAAGGGGTCAGTCAGCCAGGAGATAAAAGTCCTTTCAAAAGCAAACAGTGTCACGCGCCCCACTGGCCCTTGGAACTACATACATAGAGCCATGAGCCTTGCTCTCAGTTCTTAAAGGACCTGTCTGGGCTGTCTTCTCTCAACTTCTTGGCTGATGGGGCCACCAGGGGGCTGCACAGGCCTCAGCCTCCTCATGATCATCATAAAATACTCTGTGTTCTGCATTTTAATTTCGAGGTGCCCAGGGAACATACTGGCCTCCATCCTGCCTGGGTCATGTGACCTTTCCTAATCTGGTACATCCTTGCCAAAGAAACTCCTACTCTGGGATCATCTTACTCCTATTTTTCTCTTATTTGTGCTGATGCTTCAGTTGGATGTGCTTCCACAGTGGGCTCTGGCTCCAAAGGAAGAGATGGTGGCTTTGTGAGCTGGGATGTTCCTCCAGCACCTAGTAACAAAACAAACAGCTTGACTTCTCAGTTCCACAACTCCAGAAGAAATCATTATTTCACTGTCAAATTCCAAGAAGAAACCCCATAGTTTCTGGGAGTCGTGGGACTGTGGTATATCTTTGCAGCTATGAAGGAAGACCACAACTGGGGAAATAAAGCAGCAGTCACGTTTGCCTTCAATGACTCACTGAAATAAATCTAATTACCTGCACCATGCTGACTTAGGATAAGGCGGTGAAAATTAAAGCAAGACTACATAACAGAAGGTATGTAATGTATCACCCTGTGGCTTTTTTCCCCTTCTAGGCAAGACTACATTGGACATGTTCTGAGTCTGAAAAGTGCAAGCTTCACTCAAAGCTGTAATCTCTTTGCAGGTACATGGGGCGTGTAGCCTCCTACCTGAGGGGGGCTTCCTGTATGCGGCTGCTGAAGACATTGCCTGTCCTAGAGCTTGATTAGAGCCCAGAGGCTGCGGGAAATTGGCGGCTTTGCTGGCTGAAGTGCTCCGGTGCTTTGATTTGGGATCTTTAACTGGTTTAGTCCACACCAGTGCCTCCCCAACCTGGAGAGCAGCTCCCAACTTCTGGGCCATCTCCACCATCTTGTGCCCACATGGGAAGAAAGAAAGAGTCACAGGCATGACCAGTAGACACAAGCCTACTCACCTCTTCCTAGGCCTTCAACTGAGGCGGGTAGCTGAAATGGTACTAACACTTGGGGGAGGAAGTACTTACTGCAAGGAAATCATCTCAAACAGCAGAGAACACAGACTACCCATAGTGGAATGCAAGGGGGCTCATACAGGATCTCAAAACCCAACAATTCAAGTTTGATGCGTTACTGGGCTAACCTCCTGCCCTTCCTACATGAGAAGTGGGAGGACACTACAAAGAGACACAGACCTCAACTCAGATGAGTTGTAGTATCAGTAACAGATAACTCAGTAAGCCTGAATTTCCTCTTGTTATTTTCTTCTAGGAAAGTCTTTTCTCAGGCTGTTACTAACTGAAGAATGCATGCTGCCAGGAACAAAGCCAAAACAGGCATAAGCCTATAATACCTTATATTTGGATTATTTGGGCTTGATTCAAAAGTCTCCTGACAGCTTGTTTATGACTCCTGGCAGCTAGTAAAAGACACACCTCAGAGTCAAATTCCAGAGAGCTACTGTCCTTCAGTAGGTTGACTTTCTTCTCCATCTCCTGATACTGGGCCAGGGCACCCCTCTTCTCGCCCTGGTTGTACAGCAACACAGCATAGTTCAGGTTTACTAAAGGGTTACACCTGTGGCAAAGAGACAGGGATTCTATGGAGCTGGGGCTTTGCAACAAATGCTCCTTTAGAAATCCTTCTCATTACACAAAAACAAAACAAAACTGGTGAAGCAGACATTTCTCCATTCAGCAGCAAGGTGGGAACACTCATGCAGTGTGGCCCTGTGAAGAAGAATCAAGGAATTAATTGCCCAACCAGCAAAGCAGGTATTGGGATCAAGTCTGACATCTTAACCCTCAACAGAAACCATCAGGGCAGGGTTGAAAAAGGGATCCCTACCCTGCTGCCTATAAGATGCCAGTGGAATAAATCCTGGGAAAGTCAAGTTTATCTTAGATTAAACTGAGCCCAAAGTCCCATCTGATATTCCAGCTTGCCCATGGCTATCAACAACCCAAGCCCACTGCCAGCTCTGTCACTGGCCTCCTGACTACTAAACTGGGGGCTGGAGACATTTTCTCAGAAAGAGCTAGTGTCAGTTCCTGCTGAGCCACTGCATGCTTAGGAACCACATCCTTCCACACTTAGGCCTGCTGTGTACAAAGGCCATGGAGACTCGGGCGATGCCAGTGCTATGGCGCCACCTCGTGGCTTTATTACAGAGTCCAGCCTCCCCATTACCATTCCCGACAGAGCAGCTAGCTTACTTATCCAGGCGGACTGCTTCTGCGTAGGCTCTCTTGGCATTCTCTGTATCTTCCAGATTGGTCAGAGCCACTGCAACAAAGAAAGTGAGCACTGTGGCTGGAGAGCCCAGCTTAGAAAACAAAAGGAATGTTTCAAGCCACAGTTCATTCAGCCCCCAAGCTTAACTCCTACTTTGCCCTCTCAGCTCCTGGTACCACCATCTACTCATTCAGCCTAGATACCTGGTGTCATCTTCTTCAGCAGTTCCCTCTCCACAGCTAATCAGTTGTCAAGTTCTGTGAAGCCCATTTTTTGCAGGTTTTTTTCTGACATTGCCCTTGTTCAGGTCCAAGTTGTTTAGACTCTCCATTTTGTCCTCCTAGCAATGTCCCCACCTGCCTCCATCCACTTGCCACAGTGCTGCTAGGTATCTCACTGACTTACAAACAAATCTGACCACGTCACTATCTACTTAAGAATCCTTGGGGCTGGCCGGGTGGCATGGTTCAGTTCACGTGCTCTGCTTTGGCACAGACCTACACACTGCTCATCAAGCCATGTGTGGTGGCGTCCCACATACAGGATCGAGGAAGATGGGCACAGACGTTAGCTCAAGGCTAATCTTCCTCAGCAAAAAGTGGAGGATTGGCAACAGATGTTAGCTCAGAGCCAATCTTCCTCACCAAAAAAAAAAAAAAAAAAAGCTCACTGGTTCTCCATTACCCATAACCATGATCTTTAAACTTTTGTTTAACAACAGAACACTCTCCCCTTTTTAATCACTGTTTTCTGGAAGCCTGATCTATAAAACAAACAAAAACAGAGCTGCTCTGGAAGCTCTGCCCACTCCACCTCCCCACCAACCATGCACCCTCACTTCTATGAGACACTTAAGAGGAGATCTAGGAGTACAATTGGAAAAACACGGCCTCTAGAATAAAGTCCTCGCACTATACTCATGGCCCTCAATGTGACCCCAGACTATCTTTCCTGACTCATCTCTCCCTACATTCTATAACACTATTGCCCACTAACTGCAGGCTACATCATGCAATTTCATGGCTACATGCCTTTGTTCAGTGGCTCCTCAGCCATTCTGTGCTACTGAATTCCAGCTTATCTTTCAAACCCAGTGTGAAGGCCATCTCTACTTTGTGAAGTTAGAATTGCTGCTTATGCCTTACAGTATGGCTATTTGTTTACATTCCTATATCCCATTACAACTGGGCTATCTTTGTATTCAGGCAACCCCCAAATAACCACCACTCAATTTGCTATTGCAACCTTTCTCTTATAAATATAAGAACCCCAACGTAATGACCAGAAAAACCACCTGAAGACCACTGTCAGTGAGAACAGAGAAACTGCTTTTGGGCATATATTTAGTAAGTTTAGTATATGGAGAAATATCCCCCAGAAAGAATATTTAGTTAGTACTTTTATATCATAGCAACAATAACAACATTAATAATAGACCAATTATATAATGACAACAAAACTAATAGTTAACATTCATAGATTGTTTAATCATGTAATCCTCTCATCAGCCCTATGAGATGTATCTAGTAAGTAGTGGGGGTAGGACCCTACCTAAAGCCCAGGCTCTTAACACTTGATGATATCTGGAACTTAGTTGGACTCAATACATATAAAAATGAATTGTCAAGCCAAGGGAAAGCGATTGGTAAAAGATGAACTAGGGATGATCTTGATTTAACCTGTTGGTCTCTGAGTGAAATTCCCCCAAGTTAGAAGCAACCAAGTGCTTTGTCATCTTTTTCTTTCATATTTCTTTAAGCTCTAGGACAGTAATCCAGATTCGTATGGGATCTGTAAGGGAATGGCTTCCATGGGGCATTTAACCACTGGCCTCCTATGATTCTAATTCATTTTTCCCTTGTTACAAACTGCGGAGGGGGCTCTGCACATAAATGTCTCTTACCGGCCAAGAGCATGTAGAGCTCCCCCATCTTTGGCTGGAAGTTGATGGCTGCACTGAGAAAGTGGAAAGCTGATGCATACTGCTGCATGGTTAGGTGGACAAGGCCCAAATTATACAGAATCTTCCAATCAAAGGGTGCCAAGTAGTTGGCTCGTTTCAGGCAGCTGATAGCCTGCAGGGGAGAGGGGGCACTCGATGAGAGGTTGGGGCAAGCTTAACAGACCCAATAACTGCAGGCCTGAACACAAACAAGGAAGATGAGGAGACACTCACTGCCACGTATTTCTTCTTGCCAAAGAAGCACATTCCAATGTTATTCCAGAGTGGAGGACTTTCTGGAACAGCAGAAGCTACAACTCTGTATTTGGTGAGGGCAACATCAAAGTCCCCATGGGTCTGCATCATGCTGCCTGCTGCCAAGATGGCCTGAAAACACAGGATATGGAAAGTTGATAATACAGTCATTCCCAAAGGACTGGAGTAGTGAGGCAGCCTTCTTGGGTGTAGATACTCCCAGCAGGCCCAGCAGGCTCCCAGCAGGCCCATTAGCATAGATGGCACTAAAAAACTTCTTCCAGGGACATATATATATTCAAGCTACTGGGACAAAATGCTCATGAGGAGTGTCCCCACACCCCACACTGTGGCTCTCTTTGGCACAGTACAGAAAAAGAAAAGATAAAATGTCACTGACTCTATCCAGCTCATTTGTTTCCTCCTTCTAGCCAGGGAAGTCAATATTTCAGAGTATCAGGGCTCGTTAAGTAAAACCTGCCTTTAATCTGTTCCTTGCAGCCCCTACCTGGTACACCAAGTGCACTAGACAACTCAAAAATACACCTGTCTTTGGCCACTTAAGGTACAGCTCCTTCTGCCACAGGGCAGAGGGTAAGTCAACTTTAAGCTTCATCGGTCCAGCCCTTTCATTTCTCTAAGGAAAGGTGCCATGGTGGGGGGCTGATGGAGCCATGCTAATATGACTTTCGAGACAGAACTGAGTCTGTCCTTCCCCAAACAGCCTGTTCTGCTGTCTCTCCCTCAATAATATTCATCCACTTGATGATCTTCTCATCCCCAAAGTCAGATCTGCACAAAAGTTGTAATTACAAATTCATTAATAATCTAGAAGTCATTTCACCAGAATTATTTTTGACAGAAGTTGTGGAGGCTTTGCTAATTTCCTGAGTAACACATAAAACTTTACCAGCACTACGATTTTGCTTTCTGCATAGGTTACAGGCCTGTTATAACAAATGTGCTCTTTTAGGAAATAGGAAGCAGAGCACCAACATTTTACAATATTTTCAAATAGAAGAGCCACATTTATTTATAATTTTTATAAGAAAAAGCTAATTTCTTAGGTATGCAAAATGCTTTCTAGGACCAGATCACCTCTGGGAGCAGTGGGACCACCCATGTGAGGGCTCTGGGGTTTGACAGCCCACAATACCTTGTAGTTGGTAGGGTCGTAAGTCAGTGCATTTCCAAGGTGTTCAAATGCCTTCTGGTAAATGCCAAGCTTGGAGAAAAAGCAAACCAGAGAATTATATCAGGGAAGAATGGCAGTTAAGGAGTCTGGCCAGCCAGACTCTGAACAAACACCCTGATTTTTCTTAGTTCTCTTGACGAAAAAAAAAAAGCTACAGATACTAGATTAAAAAAGAAAGCTAAAAAAAGAAAGCTAAAAATCCTCACACTTATGCCCCCCTCCCCATTTTGTTGATTTGTCCCCGTGATAAGGTCAAAGGGTCTATTTGCCAGGAACCAGCTCTGCCACACTAGTGCTGTTCCACACTAATGCCTCCTGGCAGGAAGTGGGCTGGTTGGCCTCATCTCCCCTGGGGCCACCTCCCAAGCCAAAGCCCAGGAAGGCCCAGGGTTAAGCTCCTGATTCCTTTTAAAGAAAAATGAAACAAACAGGGCAGCACAGAGGCAGAACTGGAGGCAGGATCAGCTGCGCAGGGAACTTGGGGAGTTAGTAGGGGGCAGGGAAAGGCCCCTCAGGGATCCCTGGGCCCTGGGTATTCAGGCTGATACAGAGAAGTGATGGAGCTAAAGAATTCCATTCATACTCAGGAATGTGGAGGGGAGAAGAGACTTTTTTTTTCTAGATAATGCTTTGCCTTCTCCTTGCCTATAGGACCTGGCTGGGACGAAGGAGCAATAAAAATAGCCTTTACCTCAAAGTCCTAATAGTGTCACAGTTTCTCCCCCGACAACAAAATGCCAGCCCCCTGACCAGACAGTTATTTCTCATATTTGCTCTTCCCCTGAATGGATAAGAATTATAATTGCACTAGGCTCAAACAGATCTATCTGCTTCAGAATGCAGAAAATTAAGTTAAATCCCTTAGCAGACAAAGAATATCAAATGCAAAGAGTAAAGTTCATGTGCTTCAGATGACCTTTAGTAAAACGTGTTAAAGTAAAATCAAACTGCAGGGAAACCACAGTACACACAAATCCAAAGGCATTTCCAACACCAATGCACGAATGAGTCAAGAGTTCTCATTACCTGTAAGTAGAGTAAGCCTAAAGTTGTAAGAAGTTCTGTATTTTCTGGTGAGAACCTGCAACACAGAGATCAACAGAGAAGATGCTCAGAGGGTGACAAGACGTGTAGAAGAGACACTGAGACATGCGCATAGTCACGGGCCCTCTTGCAACACCTGCGAGACACTATTGCTCCTCCCATTCCCCATGGAAATTCCCAAAGGTGATTTGCGAATTTCCTTCAAAAGTAGCTCATCTCAACCCTGCCAATCCCTGGAGGATTGCTCAGCAAGAAAGAAATGGGACTTAGAATCCAGACTCCTTTCTCAGGACTAAAGTCCTGAGAAAGAACCTATGGAATATTTTGTGTGACTGTCCTGATTACACTGATAGAATTAAAGAACAATGCTTTATAAACCAAGTCAGTCTAGAAGACAATAAGTTTTAGCCAGTTCCCTCTTGTGGGAATTTTTTTCCTGTTCTCACTGTACTCACAATGCCAGCCAGCATAATTTTCTATGTAAGTTAGGATCCCAAGGCCCCTAACACTCTGCTCTCCATATTAAACAAAAAGCCATACTAAATAGCCAAACTAAACAAAAGAAGGAAGTCACATACTAGCTCTAAGAAAAAACTGGCCATTGGCCTTGGGGAATAAATGTTGGCTTAAGTAAAAGATTATCTGCGTTCCAATCCCTCATTTGTCTTTGTCACAAAACCAAAGCAACAGTGAGCTGAGATGATCTGACTCAGGATCATCAGAGAGTTTCAACAGTGAAAATGCTAAAAGGTGAGGAACAATGTTTCCTCCTTCTAAGGAAAGAGGTAGGGCGCTGGTTACCTATGGGGAGGCCAGAACCAGACAGCCAAAGCCCCAGCCAGGGAAGGCCTGAGCTGGCCAAACAGAGCTTACGCAGTCCAGCTGAGTATTTGCCCTTCACTTTCTGCCATAATAAGTATCCATTTTGATCACCTCTCTCCCCCAAACCAAATAAGTAACTTCCACGATTCTGGCGGCATCCATCCCCCCACCAAAACATGACTATTATCTCTAAAGCTGTGGGTCATAAACAATGGTCTCTACATTCTCAGTAAGCTCCAAATGCTCAACTGTCTCCTCTTCTTCCCGGGGAATTTTAGTGACTTAAGTCTTTGACCAGCCACTGTAAGAATGTCACCCTCCAGATTTATGTGAGCTAATCTCAAAGAGCCAAATTCTGGAAGGCAGGAGTCAGAGAACAAGGCTTCCACCCAGCACCACAGAAGCTTAACATCTGCTACATGGGCTCCTTCCTCCTCGTCCATATAAACTTAGCCTCTTTTATGACAAAAGTAGCTTAATAAACCAAGGGATTTTTATGTCTTTTTAGACACAAAATGTGGTTGAAGAAAATTCAGAAAGCAGTGTTGTGACTGATATAACCAGAAAAGTTGCTACTATAGTAGACGACAAAGGTAATTAACAAATTAAACAGAAATCTAAGTTTAATTCAGAGTCTAATTATCAGGAACAATAGACTCTGAACCAAAGACTCGGCATTATGGTAAGTGACCAAAGAAACAAATGAGACACTAAAGCATTTTGCTACAGCTATCCCACTATAAGAAACAAGACAAGACGCTATATAGAAAAGACAACATGTGTCCCTAGAGAGGAAACGTGGAACACCATTCTGGGATAGCCAGTCAGTTCCATTATCAACAAGGGTTTGGCCTACCATAAGGATGTTTTAAAAAACAACATATGGGTCTCATGCTAATAAGGCCAAATGTTTATTACTGAACCAGGAGATTTCTGTCCCTAATACCTCTGGAAATAAAAGGTCTGCTATAAAGTTTAAAACCACAATGGCAGACTGCCAGCTGACTCCAAAATCTATTCTCTCCTTCCTCCTGAGCACATGTGTGCCCAACTCCCTTGCAGCTAAGTGTGGCCACCTCACTAATTTTGAACCATGAAATGTGAGCAGGAACAATGTTTGCAACTTCTGGGCCATTTAAAACTTACTACAAGCTGCTTATTCAGTACTTAGTTTCTGTACCACCTCCCCCCCACCACAGCCTGGAACATGGATGCTACAGTAAGTCAGCTTCAACTATGCAGGTGAAGACAACAACCTAAGGAATGGTGGGTTAACAAGGAAGGAACCTGGATCCCCGATTGACTTTGTGGAGCAGAGCTGCCCAGCTAGGCTAGACCAGCCATACTGATAGGTGAAAAAGAAACACAAGTCTTCCTTGTTTAAGCCATTGGGAGCTCTTAACTTTAGCTTACCCTTTACTCTAACTCATACAACTAGTAATCAGTCACATATACTCTGTCTTAGGCTTGGGAGTTCATATGTCTGCTCCCATTTTTTTAAGTTTCTGGTTGCTCTAAAGGAAACAGACACACTTACTCCACTGCTTTCTTGTAGATTTCAATGGCCTTGTCCAAGTTTCCCTCCAGCAAGTGGATCTTCCCCAGCATTATGTAAGTCAGATCATGCCTGTTAAGATGTAGTGCGTTGTGCAGCTGGTCTTGTGCCTAATAAGATTGGTGGAGTAAAAAGAACCAAATCACTACCATGGAAGGACAATGGCTTTGTATGGCTAATGTAAAGACAGCTCCTGCTGTACTAATGTAAGAACATCCCATTTCAGCAAACAGCCCCACTGCCTGAGAAACCAAAATATACCAAAACTGTACTTGCTGACCAGACAGCTGGTAACATGGGGCATCTATCTCTGGAGCCACTTGGGAGAGTTCATACAAGATGGTTAACTTTTCTGAGTGCTTTCTGCTTCTTAATATTCATACCCATAACTCATACTTCATAAGTCAAAAGGGACATCATAGTACAGTATACAGTAGTATTGCCCTGAACTCAGTCCCAGCTGCACCGCTGACCAACTGCACAGCCTTCGCCAGGGTGGACCTCATCCTCCTCACCAATATTTTGATGAATGAATGAATGGATTGTTCTCATTTATGCACTCAACATGTGTTCACTGACTGCCTGTTGTTCTAGGTGCTAGGTATACTAGAGCTAACAAAACAAACTACTTGCTCCGGAAGAGCTTAAATCCCAGTAGATGATCAAAAGGGCTTCGTTTAGTCAACAAGTATTTACATAAATGCCAAGTGTTGTATTTGCTCTGATAGCTTTAGAATTAAATCTAAATATAATTCTCCTCCTCCTCAGTACAAGTCTGACCAAAGACCAATCACACCTCTCCCCTGGCTCTGAATAATCCTGTGAATAGAAATGTACTTGCTTGGAATATCCTCTAAAGAGAAAAATCTCCTAACCAGTATATAACACTGTAGATCTGCCCAAAAGACCTAAGGGACCCACTAAATATATGTATTTTTAATATATATTAGTTATTTATTATATATCTCACAGGAGAAAAAGTTACTCTCAGTACCTCAACTGCTGATGTACACTTTTTTTTCATACCCCTGAGGCATAGATTAGGTTGCATCAGTTTGCAAACTGACACAAACTAAACACTGTCAAACGGGCATTAACCAACTCAGATTCTCAGTCCTGTCAGCACTGGAGAAAGGAGAATAAAACTTCACAATTATTAAGTGGGAGCTTTATGAAGGAAACTCTACCCAACCCTACTATCGTAACTTTCAGAGCTCTCAATAATTTAGTTATCCCTCAATTAAGATATACACATTTTTTTATCTGAGTACCAACGTAAGCTCAAATGTTGCATCTGATATAAGAGCCTTAGAGTCTACCGCTTAATCATAATGAAATATAAATTCTCACATGGAAAATAATCTTAAAAACTGAAACTCCCAGAAATCAGATCCACTTAAAACTTAAAATTCATTTCCAACGACCTTAAGAACTAAAATCAGTTGCCATCAGAGCATAAGATAGTTCACATGGTCATGATTACTTAAGGGTCCACTTTTTGATATCTAAGTTTTATTGACTATTGTTTGTTTACTGAAAAGTTAAACTGGGGGTGGAGAAAAGAGAGGACAAAAGCAATTAGAATGCCATTCTCTCATAATATTTCTAGAATTTGTCGTTTTCTTGTTAAAAGCAGAAAAAAAACCCATATGGATAATGACAAATGACAGTAAAAACGGAGATAAACGTACAGTCTGCCCTCCGCATCGTTAAATATGTTTACAATCTGCAGTTGGTTAAATCCAGGGATGCAGAACCCAAGGATATGGAGGGCCAACTAAGGGACTTAGACATCCACAATTTTTGGTATCCTCGGGGAGTCCTGGAACCAATCCTCCATGGGTACCAAAGGACAACTGAAATGGCACTTTCAATTTTTACTTCCAAAAATCTCTGCAAGCACTAGGAATAATACAAAATGAGCAATGGTACCTCTCTAACAAGTGTACCCTCAGTGAAAGCCCCAGCCAACCACTCAATCGCCACCGCTATTTCTATGAATTACCTTGTTGAACTGTTTCAGATAAATGTAGCAAACTCCTAGGTTATGACAGATCTCCTACACACAAAAGAAAGGAAAACAGCTTAGGTGTAAATTCCACAGTAAGTATTAGAGTGAAACAACAGGCATCCAGAGATTGTTATTGTTCAGCAACGTTTAAACTTTAAAATGTGCACTACAGTTAATTTTTTACTAGATTTCATACTCAAATACAGTCACAACTCACTTAACGATGGGAATACGATCTGAGAAATGCATCCTTAAGTGATTTCGTCATTGTGCGAACATTACCGAGTGTACTTACACAAACCTAAATGGTATATAGCCTACTACACACCTAGGCTATATGGTACGAATCTTATAGAACCACTGTCATATACATGGTCCACCCTTGACTGAACTGTTGTTATGCAGTGCTTGACTGTATGTTTAATTCTACAAAATGGGTCCCTTAATATTAAAAAAACTACAGTTTTTTTACACTATAAGAGATAAAAGCAGAATAAACAGGTGATCTTCTTGGGTCTATGTGGTACCTTGGGGTACATACCCAGCCTATCCTCATACTTTTTTTCTCTAAGAGCTGCCCACTGCCCACACCCTTTGTGCCCTCTTCTCAGAAGAGACTACCCATGGCACCTGCTCCACCCCAAGGGGATATGTATATATATATGTGTGTCAATCAGATCCCTTTTCCTAGGAATCTAGAATTGCTAGGTGATGTGGACTTGGGGACTGACAGGGCCATCTGGAGGCCACTATTATGGAATCCATGTAATTGGAGCCAATCTGTTGAAGTCTACAGCAGAGGTCAGCAAACTAAGGCCCCCGACCAAATCCATCCTCTGCCTTTTTTTGCAAATAAAGTTTTATTGGAACACAGCCACACCACTTATGGATTGTCTACGGCTCTTTTACACTAGAACTTCAGAGTTAAGCAGTTGCAACCGTGTATGAAGCCACAAAACTTAAAATATTTACTAACTGGCCCTTTACAAAAAAGAGTTTGCCAACTGCTGATCTACAGAGAGCAAAAATGAAGCGGAAATTCAGAGTAGCTACCTACCTTGGTTGCTGACAGCTTTCCAGTTCTAGTTCACTGCAAGATGAACCTGTATTTCCTGACCTTGAGTTCTATAGAATCTCTCAAATTCCCTTATACTAAATCTCCCTTTATTTAGGGTAGCTTTAGAGAAAGGAGAAAGCAAGGGTTAGGAAACTGCTCTTGGGAAACAGAAAGAGCCTTCTTATTAGTAGTGGAGAGGTGTGGAAGCACATTCAGGCCCAGAGTGTCCCTGGCTGAAGAAACATGGAGCGCAGGGCTCAGAGACAACTGATTTAATGTCGTCCAAGTCTCCTAAAATAACAACAACAACAACAAAATAGCGCTCATTGATTAACTACTTCACATCAGGTTCTATGCCAGATATTTTTCACATATATTACTCTAATTTTCCCAGCAAACCTGCAACATAGGTATAACAAATCTGATTTTAGAGATAAAAAAATTAAAGCTCAGAGAGGTTAAGTAGTTTGCCTAACTTAAGACAAATGTGTCAGCACTGGGATTTTTGCTTTTTTAGGTCTAAATCTTAAGGAGAATTTCAACCATAAATAAATGTAGACAGAATCACCATGTACTAATCATTCTGTCCCAACAATCATCCAATCCATACCCTCATCTATCCCACTACTTTTGTAAGCAAATACCAGATAGCCTAACATTTCATCCACAAATATTTCAGTATATATTTTTAAAGAATAAGGTCTTTTTTTTAACCTACCCACAATATCACTATAACCTAAAAAAATTTAATAACTGCTTAATATCAGATATTAAATCATGTTGCAATTTCTGATAGTCTCATAAATGTCTCAAAAAACTTTTTTTCCTGAATCATGATCCAAATAATGTCCACACACTGCAAAGCACTGAACTCAGGCCTGCGTCCAAAGCTTGTGTCTTTTCCACTTTCCATCCCATCAGAATGTACACATGGAGCCAGAGAGGGGAGAAACGTAGCCCTACTTGTCCTTGAAATGTCCTGAAAGCTAACTAATCCCTAACTTTTTAAAATAATTTGTCATAGATATTATTTGAGAAGGCAGCAGCAATATGCCTTAAATAAACTGACAGCAAAGGAAATTTCAAAAGGAAAACAGAACAAATCAGAGTTAAATCCTGTCTTTCATGGGATGAGAGAATCTAGCAGACATCCTGCAACGACAGTTGGTACAGCGGAAAGATCATAGGCCTACAGTGAGGAATCCTCGATCGAGGCCTGAATTCTAGCTCTAGTTCTGCCACTACCTTACTGTGTACCCTTTAACAAGTCATTCCATCTCCCAAAGCCTCAGCTTTCTCATCTATCAATGGGGGTAATTCTCCCTATTTAACAGAGCTGTTCCAAAAGTCAAATGAGATAATGGCAGGAGGAATTATTATTCCCCTGTTGCAGCCAGACTGTGGAATACCCTGATGAGTCCAAGAAAGTAGGGCTACAAGGTTTTCTGCAGGCCACAGGCACTTATGAAGCATGCAGGAGATAGAGTGGCTGTTTGGTGAATGACCACCTCTACTGGTGCCAATGGAATGGTTATCCCAAGTTGAGTAATACCAAATGAGCTCCTTCAACCAAATGGATGGATTAACAGACACTCTCCATTCCCACTGTGACCCTGAGCATTCCTGTTTCACTTCTTCCCTATCTCCCTCTGTGAGCTCTTTTCCTCTTCAGCTCGGCCTTTCAAAACTTTTTTGTCCAGGGTTCCATCTTCAGCCCACTGCAGAGTGATCTCATCCAATTTCATGGTTTTCATCATCACCTTTATGCTGTTGACTCCAAAATATGTATCTCTAGTCCAGAACACCTGAGTTTCAGATTTCTATATCCAGCCATGCATTGGACACATCTCAATTTAAATATCCTACCAGAAGCTAAAACTCATCGTGTCCATAATCTTCTGAAAGACAGGATTTAACTCTGATTTGTTATCATCGCCCTTTCCCAAAACTTGCTTCTCTTCCTTCCTATATTTCCTATTCTAGCCTATTGTCCCATAATCCACCAATCCATCTCTGCATCTCCAGGGTATAGCCCAGTGCCTGGCACATAGCAGACATTCATTTATTGAAAGAATGACTAGAAGAATGAAAGAGTAAATGAATTTCCCTTTATCTGCAGCTTCACTTTGGTCTTTAGCTATGAAATACTCAATGGCATCAAGACTTAAACATCTCAATCTTCAGACCTATAGAAGAAAAGTTACTGACAAATTGAACACACTTCAAAAACAAGAGTGCCATAAGAACTGCAGAGAGGGGCCGGCCCGGTGGCCTAGCGGTTAAGTGTGCGCGCTCTGCTGTGGCGGCCCAGGGTTCGTGGGTTCGGATTCCCGGCGCGCACCGACGCACCACTTAGTGGGCCATGCTATGGCGGCGTCCCATATAAAGTGGAGGAAGATGAGCACGGATGTTAGCCCAGGGCCAATCTTTCTCAGCAAAACGAGGAGGATTGGCATCGGATGTTAGCTCAGGGCTAGTCTTCCTCACAAAAGAAAAAAAAAAACTCCAAAGAAAATGAATGCTAGCTATCTGTACTAATCCATCTAATCCTTCACTTACAGATATGTCTTTCCAAGAATCATCAGCTATTTGAAAAAAACCAACAGCATAAGAAAGAAGAACCAAAATGAAGAGGGAAGAAAAAGATAATTCTGGAAAGCAGAACAGAACTTCAAAAGTCAGAGACATGGAGAGGCTACTTGCAAGAAGAGAAAAGACAAAGTTCTTGGAAATTAAAAATATATTTACTGAAATAAAAAATACTGAATGGGGCCGGCCCCATGGCTTAGCGGTTAAGTGCGCATGCTCCGCTACTGGCGGCCCGGGTTCGGATCCCGGGCACGCACCGATGCACCGCTTCTCCGGCCGTGCTGAGGCGACATCCCACATACAGCAACTAGAAGGATGTGCAACTATGACATACAACTATCTATTGGGGCTTTGGGGAAACAAAAAGGAGGAGTATTGGCAATAGATGTTAATTCAGAGCTGGTTTTCCTCAGCAAAAAGAGGAGGATTAGCACAGATGTTAGCTCAGGGCTGATCTTCCTCACAAAAAAATAAAAAAATAAAATACTGAATGGATAGGCTAAATAACAGAATGTGAATAGCTAAAAACAAAAATGATGATCTGGAAGATAAGATTAAGGAAATGTCCCTGAATGTACAGCAAAAAGACAAGAAGGTGGAAAACAGCAGAGGCAAATTAAGACATATAGAGAACAGGTACAGAACACATCTAATAGAGTGGAAACCAGTGTGACAGATGCTACTAGTTAATATCCACTCTCTTTGTTTTCTTTACTAATAGAACTCTAATTTTGTTCATAATGGCAATGTATCCAACTTAAAAACTACATTTCCCAGCATTCTTTACAAAAGGGGTAGTTAATATGACATAAGCAGAAGTCTGTTGGGGATTTCTGGAAAAGTTACACTTTCCTAATATGGGGCTATGTCTTTTTGTAGCTTCCTGTTTCTCCCTGCCTAGAATGATGATGTGATGTTGGAGCTGCAGCAGACATCTTGTAACCATGAAGAAAAATCCTCAGCCTTGACATCCTTGGACCACCAAATCAATGTCAGCAACTACTTACCTGGACTTCTTATTTCATGAGAAAACAAATAAAGCAATAATTTGTAAAGCTAACGTTTAGTCAAATTTTTTGTTGCCATTACACACAATCCCTAACTGATACAAGGAGACAATGGAGGGAGAAAAAATAATCAAAGAACTACTCAAAGAAAATTTCCCTGACCCAAAGAAAGGCAAGGGTCTTCAGAGTGAACAAGCCAACTGAGTGTCCACAGATGAGGGGGGAAAAAAGAAAAGAAACACATCTAGACAGCTATTACTGACATTTCAGAACTCCAATGATACAGAGAAAATCTTCAAAGCTTCTAGAGAGGAAAGTGGGGTAAACAACAAGAATCAGACTGGCAACAGACTGCTCCTCAGCAACACTGTTGCCAGAAACAAGCAGCACTGTCTGCTAAGTTATGAGGAAACATGATTTTCGATCTTATACCTCACCAAATCATCAGTCAGATGTGAGGATAAAATAAAGACATTTTTGTCACGTTAGAATTCAATAATAATAACAAAAGACAGCCATGTGAGACATGGACCCATTACCATGTTACTAACAACAAGGAACTTCAAGTTCCTACTTACCCAATCCTTCTGGTTAAGTTTAGCTGCTTCATTATATACTTCAATGGCAGCTTTATGTTTTCCCAAAAGAAATCTGAGGAAGAAATACATTTTCTGTAATTATTAACTCAAAGGTTTTACAAGACTAACTCCACTAGTCCTGCATTTGACTCATATTCCATCAAGCAGAGAATTCTGGAAGCCTCTTCCCTATGAGCTGGTTTGGCCAGTGAGGCTGCTCTATACTAACAGCAGAAGCTCTCTTGGTAGTGACTGCACTGGTAGCTGTTCCAGGGCCTTGGTCCCATTCTATACCAATTTTAGTGCAAGTCTTCTGTAATTTATTTTCTGCAATGTACTACAAATGTAGACCAAAAAAGAAACAAGCTAAATCATATACCATGTTAGGCAAAAGCTGCCATCATTTATCATCATCATTATTAGGCACATGCCGTTCTCTCCCAAGCCTAAGAGACTTCTTTCCTTGATACTGGACCATGATTCTGGAGAGCCAGGGGAAAACCGGGCTCTATGCAAAGACAGTGCAGCTATGAATGACAATGTAGGTAAGAAAGTGGGGATGGGAACCTCATGGAACACTTTACTACCCTGGTGTAGTAAAGCTATTAGTGTACCTAATGCTTATAAAGACTGGTGGCTGCTTACATCCAGGAACCTTCAGGGCATTTGTTCAACAAACTCTTACTAAAAACCTACTGTGTCAAGCATTATGCTAAGTGTTGGAACAGTATATGAGAAAAATTCCACGGGTTGCCAATGAGGTTAGGGGACTGGAGGGCACACAAGATGTCACTACGGACAGTCCCCAACTTAACGATGGTTCGACTTAAGACTTTTCGACATTACAATGGTGCAAAAGCAATATGCATTCACTAGAAACCATATTTCGAATTCTGAATTTTGATCTTTTCCCAGGCTAGTGATATGCGGTACGATACCCTCGTGATGCGGGACAGCGGCAGCGAGCTGCAGCTCCCAGTCAGCCACGTGATCACGAGGGGAAACAACCGACAGGCTTACAACCATTCTGTTTTTCACTTTAAGTACAGTATCCAGTAAACTACATGAGATATTCAACACTTGATTATAAAATAGGCTTTGTGTGAGATGCTTTTGCCAAACTGTAGGCTAATGTAAATGTTCTGGGCATGTTTAAGGTAGGCGAGGCTAGGCTATGATGTTTGGTAGGTTAAGTGTATTAAATGCATTTTCGACTTTTGATATTTTCAACTTACAATGGGTTTATTGGGACATAATCCCATCATAAGTCAAGGAAGATCTGTATTTATATGATAAACAGTATCAGTGTTCCCCTATCAAACTAGGATATACAGTATTTGAAATACTCAGTTCCTTTATACTAGTTATCTCATTTTCTCAAATTTCAAAATAAATCCATACTCTTCAAAGTGAATCCCATTATACCTATTAAGCAACTCTCCCTCTATGTGTCAGGTTGATCAGGCTGCGATGAAAATGCACTTTACATTTTTCTCAGTAGTACCCCAGGGCCTCTAGGCTGCTGATACTCACAAAGATCTGGCCACCTGCTTGAGGTTATCAGCACATTGAGGGCTGAGAATAGCACACGTCTGGAAGAGTTCTAGGGATTCTTGGATATTTCCTTCCAGGCGAAATATCAATGCTGCCAAGAAACAGAAAATAAAATCACATTCTGGGAAGAATGGAGCCTGGTAGCAGAAAAACTGGAGAAGAGGGAGGTGGGAAATCATATCAAAGAAATCCTTGGGTAATTATATCTTTAATACAATCAGATATGGCTTCAGATGGACTGAAACAAGTAGCAAAGTAGTTGACAAGATAAAATCTTTTTTAACAAGTATCTCAAACCTACCTACTCCACCACTCCCAGCATCCACACACAGATAATCCGATGCCTTGCAAATTATCCCACAAATTCTTCATAATAAGAACATTCTTGGGCTTCCCTATCAGATGCTTTATTTATCATGATAATTCAGACTTCCACCTGATAGTTTTCAGAGTACATCCAAATTGGGCAAGTACAATCAATACCCCAAGTCCAACAAGGAGATTCCAGCAAAGTACACACTAATATTTCAGGCTTTGTTTTCAGTATAGCAACCACTCAGAATCAGTAACTTTTCCTAGGCCTAAGTTTTCAGAAGAATTTACATACTTAAGTATTATGAGGCACTGAAAGTCTGTAACTTGTGATACTAGTAATAAAAGAACATTTTTTTGCCATGTCCTAGATGTGTCAATGTCTTACCAATTACGTCAAAAAATTATATATTAATCTGAAGACTACAAATGCAATGAGTGATAAACAAAACCATTCATTTACACCAAAGAGTCAAAAAGAAAGTTCCTGGAAAAACTAAGGATGCTACTTTTGTCAGTAAAGGGTAAGATTTCAGTAAGTGGTTCCTATATTTGGTTTCTGATGAATTTCACTTATTCTCTGCTTTATCCTATATACCTCTAGCTTCTCCCCTTCATCCTGACTCACCTTACAAAAGCCTGACTGCACAAAACCCTTCCAAAACCTTCCTCTGGGCCTGAAACTATTGCATGAGGCAGGGACCCTAACATCCATTCTGAAAAACACTAGCCAGAAACTAGAAAAGTGGTGAAGGATAGGAGAAAATTTTTTTTAACAGAACTAGTCATTTCTGAGGTTAAATTCAGCACAAGAATTATGTTCCAACTTCAAAAAACAAGAATACGGAATAAGATCTTTGTGGAACATTTACTTGAATTTAAGTATTTCAAAAATTGCTTGCTCTTTTTCCAGAACCTAGGTAAAGTGTGCATATCTCTAGCAAGAAGAGAAGAAATATACGTCTTACCTTGGACATAAATAGCATATTCACATAACCCCTGAGTCTCCTGAAGCTGTTCTTTGATAACAGCCTGAAAGAGGAAGAAAAAAACTGAGTAGTGGTTAAGTGTCTTGAAGTGTTTTTAAAAAAAGGTAGACATGGGGGCCAGTCCGGTGGTGCAGCGGTTAAGTTCACATGTTTCACTTCAGCGGCCTGGGGTTCCCCGGTTCAGATCCTGGACGTGGACCTACTCACTGCTCATCAAGCCATGCTGAGGTGGCATCCCACATAGAGGAACTAGAAGGACCTACAACTAGGATATACAATTACGTACTGGGGGCTTTGGGGAAAAAAAAGAAAAAAAGAGACTGGGGCCGGCCCAGTGGCCCAGCGGTTAAGTGCGTGCACTCCACTTCAGCAGCCCAGGGTTTGCAGGTTTGGATCCCAGGCGCGCACCGACGCACCGCTTGTCAAGCCATACTGAGGAGGTGTCCCATGTAAAATAGAGGAAGATGGGCACAGATGTTAGCTCAGGGCCAATCTTCCTCAGCAAAAAGAGGAGGACTGGCATCGGATGTTAGCTCAGGGCTAGTCTTCCTCACAAAAAAAAAAAAGAAAGAAAGAAAAAAGAGGAAGATTGGCAACAGATGTTAGCTCAGGACCAACCTTCCTCAAAAAAAAAAGAAAAGGTAGACATGGACAAGGAGCATATGTAAGAAATCTAGGATACTAATAATGAATAAAGTAGTTCACTCGAAATTGTTTTTTGGTGAGGAAGATCAGCCCTGAGCTAACATCCGATGCCAATCCTCCTCTTTTTGCTCAGGAAGATTGGCCCTGGCTAACATCCATGCCCATCTTCCTCTACTTTATACGGGATGCCGCCACAGCATGGCTTGATAAGCAGTGTGTTGGTCTGCGCCCGGGATCCAAACCTGCAAACCCTGGGCCACCAAAGCGGAGCACACGAACTTAACTACGCTGCCACTGGCTGGCCCTGGAATTTTTTTTTAATCTCAACTCTCATTATGATTACTAATTCTCGAACAAGGGTCAGCAAACTTCAGCCCACAGGCCACAACCGACCCACACAGCCTATTTTTTATTTTTTTTTTTTGGTGAGCAAGACCAGCCCTGGGCTAACATCTGTTGCCAATCTGCCTCTTTTTGTTGAGGAAGACTGGCCCTGAGCTAACAGCTGTGCCCATCTTCCTCTATCTTGTATGTGGGACGCCACCACAGCATGGTTTGATGTGTGGTGTGTTGGTCCACGCCTGGGATTCAAACCTGTGAACCCTGGGCTGCTGAAGCGGAGCACGCGAACTTAACCACTACATCACCAGGCCGGCCCCCACATAGCCTATTTTTGTACAGCTCTCAAGCTAAAAGTGGTTTTTATATTTTAAAGGGTGATAAAAAAATAAGAGAAGATAAAGAATATGAGACAGAGACTGTATGTGGCCTCTCAAGCCTAAAGTATTTACCATCCGGCCCCTTATAGAAAAAGTTTGCTAACCCCTATCTAGAACCTACCTAGGCAAGCTAAGAAAAATCTGAAAAGATTCCCAAGCACCATTGTAGATGCTAGGGGCTCGCTGATGTGCAAAACACAGGCTCTACCTTCTACTATGATGGGCTAAGCCCAGGGTGTTACAGGACCTCAGAGGACAAGCACCTGATTCTAACTTGGAGACAGGGAAGGCTTTTCAGAGTAAACAGTTTCAAATCTTCGGTTGGCAAGGGGTGAAGAAGCTGAGGTGGCCGAGAGAGTCAGAGACAGAAGGACCTTCGAATGCCATGCTAAAAAGGTTGAGAGCAATGGGAAAATCTTGGTAAGTTTTAAGCAGCAAGTAACCTGATTCTATTTGTGCTAGAAAAATCATTTTTTTGGAGCAATGTTGAAAACAGATGGAAAGGAGGCAAGATTAGAGGCAAGGTTGGTATAAGAACTCTTGTGGTAATTTAAAGATTTTATTTATTTATTTTTCCCCCAAAGCCCCAGTAGATAGTTGTATGTCGTAGTTGCACATCCATTCTAGTTGCTGTATATGGGACGCGGCCTCAGCATGGCCGGAGAAGCGGTGCGTCGGTGCTTGCCCGGGATCCGAACCCGGGCCGCCAGCAGCGGAGCGCGAGCACTTAACCGCTAAGCCACGGGGCCGGCCCCTCTTGTGGTAATTTAAATAAAAATGATGGGATTAACTAAGGCATGGAGAGGGGAAAAGTGGACAATTTCAAGAGACAGTAAGAGAAAGCTCTCCGGAATTTGATGATTATCTATATTCTATTAGGGAAAGTGGGTCAGGGGATTCTGACAGACAGCTAGGGGAACGATAGTATCTATCCCTGAGACAGGGAACAGGAGCAGGAATACATTTGGAAGGAAGAAGATAAATTCGGCTACAGACAAGTTGAATTTGAAATGCCTGTGAAGCATTAAGTATCAGATTGGTCTGAAGATCCCCAAGAAGTGTGTGGAATGAGCAGAGAAAGGGCTCAAGGACAGGACCTAGGAACAGCCCCAACTGATAATAAATAAGCAGTGGAAGAGAAGCCAAAAATACAAAACAGAGAAAGTGGTCAAAAAAGGAAAAGGGAAACAAGAAAAGGATAATATCAGAGAAGGAAAGAAAGAAACCTTTCAGGATCCATACTAGTACTCCTACTAAACATTGCTAGTTCTGGCATTGCTGTAGGTACACGTGCCACAGGTATAAATTAAAAACCACAACCTTAGAAGCATTACAAAGCTCTGAATACCAAAAAGACAATACCAAGCATTTATTTTGAATGTTAATACTCCTGTCTGCCAGCAAGTATGTAACATATATAGTATGTTACCAAAGAGACAAACAGACAGGTTCAGAGAAAAGGAAATACAAATGATTACTAAATATACAAATGATGATTAAGTTCACCATAATAAGAGAATTATAAAATAAAACTCAGTGAAATACCATTTTTCACCTATCCAGGGATCAAAAAGTTAAATAGTAAGCTGTGATAAACATCTGCCCTGCTCCATGAGACCAACAAGTCCCAGAGAGTGGCTGCTCCTTCAACCTAGTCTTGAAATAAGAAGACACATGGAACACACCTGAACCTGACCCAGAGCCTGTAGTCAAACCCAGCCAACCCACAGCCAATCTGAAGGCCCATGAGCAATAAATACATGTCTGTTGTTGGAGGCCACTGAAATTTTGAGGTTGTTAAGCAGCATTATCATAGCAAAAGCTAACCAATACACAAAGTATGGGGAAAGAGGAATTCCATACATTATTAGTGGGATATAAACTGCCACAAACTCTGTGTGATAGACACTGTCAGTTGCCTAACCAAAGCCTGCTTCTCATTTTCTCCATCATTGCAATCTCTCACCTTGCACGCTTCATAATCCTTCCGGATATAGTGAAGATGTATCAACCAGTTCTGCTTCTCCAAAATAGGAAACTCTGGAGCTGGGTAGCATATTTTGACAAAACAAACAACACAGGCATTGTTAGATTTTCTCCTTTAGCATTGTCCTCATGCCTAAACTATCCACAAGCATATTGCAATTATTACATTAAATTCTTCATGCTGCTGATCCTAAGAATGTAGTACATCAAAAATGTATAGATCATTAAACTAAAACATACTTGTCCTACTATTACACATTGAATATATGCTTCTCTTTGGTTTTTATGGCTTATAATGTCAGTTTCTCAAATGATGACTTAGCCTGAAAAAAAAATAAAATCATTCTTTGTCTCTTCTCCTCTCTCTCTCTCCTTGGTTATAGAAGGTGAATAAGAAGACTTTCTAAAGGATATTTCAGGAACATTACTAACAAAATCTATATAACATAGTTAATGTCACATCTGATAGATCAGAGGACCAAAAACAGTTAAACACAATCTTAGCAATAGCTCAAATTGAAACATTATACTGTTGCCCAGGAATGAGAAGTGAACAATGAAAAAAAATCTATTTGAATGATTGAAAATGATTTATGATAGAGAAACCATGAGTTACTATCCCTTTGAATTCAGAAGTTTAGGATACACATAAAAATTCATTAAGAAATTACTTTTCTATGGTAACAAGGAGATGGATTCACACCAGCCTCAGAACAGTGGTGACCTCAAGGAAGGGAGAGGGAGGAATGGGATTAGGAAAAGACAAAAAAAAAGACTTAAACTCTTTATTTCTCAAAAAAATAAAAAGCTCTAAAGTATACAAGGCTAAATGTTTTTATTTATTAAATCTGGCCAGTGAGTACATGAGTGTTTGTATTTTTTTAACGCACTTTAATATATATTTGAGATATTCCTTGATTTTTAAAAATGTAAAAGAAAGGGCACAGCAGGGGAAGAGAGGGAAATGATTTGTAATCATTATGTTCTAGAACCTTAGGAGATACATCAACAGCAAATCTAAGACTTATATGTCCATAATAAGACAGGAAGGGAAAAAAGCTTACTGTGACCTAGAGTTAACGTTGCCAGAACACAAAAATTAAAGAGTAATGCTGCTTACTGCTTCCCAAGAATAGGAAATATCAATGGAATTTGTAAGATGAAATTATGACAAAAAGTATGGATATGATTTTACATGCCAGAAGAAAGGAAAAAAAAGATAAAATGTTAAGCAATTGACTCATCTTCCAATTACCCACATCCTCTGAGTGGCACACCACTGTTCTTCTAGTTAGCAAGAGCCTATTTGATATTCTTCAATGACTTTTGTTTCCTTCCTTCTCTTTCCCTAGGCCCAATCAATCATCATATCTTAGCCATTCATGTTTTGCCTAACCACTTCCAGAATTAAGTTTCCTACTAAAGGCCATACAAATCACCAAGTTTAAAGATCTATGTGTATGTTTGTGTGTGTGTGCGCGCGTGCACGTACGCACACACGTGCATGTAAAGTGGGTAAAAAAATGCACCATAATATTTCTGGGACAAGTGGTATACTGAGTAATCTTGGACCAAGTCTCAATTGTATGCTTACCGCTCTGTCACCTACCCTCTAAAGTGAAAGGAGTAACAGAGAAGGAGACACTGAAACCTTTGAGTTTACGATATCACTAAGTATCATTGCTTCTACTGCCTAAAAGACAAAATTTATAAAATGCAAACTTGAGTCTTGCCTATTATTAAATTCTCACAATAAAAGACACGTCATTTTTTGTATTCCCTGGGTGAAGAATGGAGAAAAAAATGTTCAATTCGTAAGGCAGCTTAAGGGCCCAGAGGCTCATGAAATGGAGCCCCAGGGATTAGAAGAAGGGAAAGCACCACCAAATCCAAGCACTTAAAGGTCATTTCACAGTCCTGAAGATGTACTTTGTCTAAAAGTTAAAAGAAATTTAGCTTCATCAAAGACTTTAGAAATCATTTCAGTGCCCCATAATTATCCTATTACTAACTGTGTGATCTTGGGAAATTTACAGTTTCCTCATCTATAAAATAGAGACTCATTCATTCATTCAACAAATATTCACTGAATGCCTGCCATGTGCCAGGCACTGTTCAAGGCACTGGGGATACAAAAGTGAACAAAACCGATCTCCTGCTTTCAGGGAGCTTATAATCAGTATGGGGGTAGGGGAGATGGGATACCTTAGAAATCCCCAGAGTCTATGATTTCTGAATTTACAGTTAGGATTTTACTTGTAAACGTGTAAGTTGAATTTCTTGAATTCCAAATCACCTTTCACTCCAATTCCCCCTACAAACAGGGATACTGGTTCTTATATGCTTTCACAAGTATTATAAGAATTGCCTATTTGAAAGATCCTCTAAAAAAGATAGGCATGTAAGTGCAAAGTAGAGCCTCCTCTACTTTACAGCACAGCAAGGTGGTCACCTCAGATGGAGCCTATATTACCACAGAGGTCAGGTGGCCAGCTGATGAGATGAAGACAAGGTAATGCCCTTCAGCTGGTTGTAAAAGACCTTATTCCCACACTGCCTCTCCCACCACCATCGATGAAGACAAGGTGAAGCCTCTCAACTGGTTGTAAAAGGACCTTGTTCACATCCCCAGCTCCCACACTGCCCCTTCACCATCACCAAGCAGAGAGGGCAGAAGGCTGGCAACCTGGCAACAATACTCCCATGGCCCTTCTCTTCTCTCACCCCCATTCTCTTCTTTTGTGACATCTCTTCTCTTTCTTTCCCCCTCTAAGGATACCCTAGACTTACATCTTAAACAATTCCATAACCGAATAAACATGACATCGCAAGAATTCTTCTCCCCTGTCATGTGCCCTAAGTGCTAAATTCTCTTAGGAATGGCCATAACTCAAACCTTCACATTAAACTTTGATTAATGCTAGGGTATAGCACCCTGGATATATGAAGGCTGAGCAGAAAATTACTGTGCTTTTAGTTTTTAGTTGAAACATTTTCTAAAATGACTAAAGCTTTTCTATGTACACTATAAATGAACCCTTCTTCAGTAAAGGATCTCTTCCAGGACCAGCAGACATGCAGCAGATAGAATTTTTATATGTAGAATTCCAATCTTGATTCAGTACCAGCCTTTATGGGACCTAGAGCAAGTTATTTAACTTCTCTGGGCCTCTATTTTTTCCCCCTATAATTTTCACTGGAAAATTACAAAAAATCTGAAAGTGGTCATTCGATAAATGTTAATATCCTCATGTTATAAGAGGAATTTTAACACTTTTCTACGTCAATATATTATTTGGGACATCAAAAGATATAACAATGTAGACATTTTTATCATTTATTATCAGTTTGAGCTCTATATCAGTCAGGTCTAACAACGAAACGTGGAAACCACTTGAGGATTTGAAAGAGAGGGACTTCAATGCAGTGAAAAGTGATGGAAGAAATGAGAGGCCCAACAGGGAACAGTGAGACAAATCAGAGGTTAGCAAGGGAGCAAAAAGCCACTACCACCTCTAGGCTGGAGGGAAAAAAGGGAGGAAATATGTTGCTACCAGTATCCAAGGTTGAAGTTACCTGGAGGAAGCTGAAAACAAGATGGCCTGACTGGCAGAAGTAACAAGAGATGCTTCTAGAGACCACCCCATTCCTCCAACTTCCCCAAACAGAGAGAAAGAGGGGAAAGCACTGGCTCCTCCTTCTTCCTGCCCTCCAATCTCCTGCCAATTCCTCCCACTTGCTAATCCAGCCAGAAACTGCTGACACAGGAGCCTGGGAAAGAATGAAGCCCACAAGAGTCAGCTCCTCACAATATACAGCACAGAGGAGAAGTGTGAGGAATGGATGGGAGGGCTAACAGGCTCAGGATCAGCAGAAACATCAACTCTGTTCATAAATATAAATGATGATGAAGGAGGAGGAGGAGACTGGACTGAATCAGTACTCACTCAAGGATACATGCTACAAGCTGGCTTTTTTTTTTACTATTATTATTAAATTGCTTGCTAACTAACCTGTTTGCTTCTCATGAGCTTAAAATGGGATGAGGAGGAAAGAAAAAGTCATATAAAAGATCAATTATGGTTTTACTACATATCCTAGATTATTTAAAACTATTTTACTAACAAAACAATAATTATATTTTATCATTTTTAGGGGTACATGGGTGTGTGTATCCCCCCACATGTATAGCAGTGTCCCCTTAACTAGAGGTTTCACTTTCCATGGTTTCAGTTATCTGGGGTCAACTGTGGTCTGAAAATATTAAATGGAAAATTCCAGGAATAAACAATTCTTAAGTTTTAAATCATGCACCATTCTGAATAACGAGATGAAATCTTGCACCATCCAGCTCAGTCCCACCCAGGACGTGAATCATCCCTTTGTCTAGCGTACCCACGCTGTATACACCACCCTCCCTTTAGTCACTTAGTAGCCGTTTCAGTTATCAAATGGACTGTCACAGTATCACAGTGCTTATGTTCAAGTAACCCATATTTTACTTAATAATGGCCCCAAAGCACAAGAGTAGTGATGCTGGCAATTCAGATATGCCAAAGAGAAGCCATAACGTGCTTCCTTTAAGTAAAAAGGTGAAAGTTCTTGACCTAATAAGGAGAGAAAAAAAATCATATGCTGAGGTTGCTAAGATCAACAGTAACTTTTATTACAGTATACTGTTATAATTGGTCTATTTTATTATTAGTTATTGTTAATCTCTTACTATCCTAATCTGTAAATTAAACTTTATCAGAGGTATGTAGGTATAGGAAAAAACATAGTATATATGGAATTCGGTACTATCCATGGTTTCAGGCATCCACTGGGAGTCTTGGAACATAACCCCCGTGGATAAGGGAGGATTACTGTATTTATATATTTTATTTTATTCACATATATTTATTTATATGATTTACTTATATAATATGTAATTTATTTATATATATGTTTGATATATATTTATATCAAAGTGTTTTCTCCCCTATTATTTCACTGAATGTTCCTATGAGGCTAATGAGTCATGCAATTCAGGAACTATTCAACACTATAGATGAGGAAAT